TTCGGATCCACTGCGAAGGAAAGCTCGTTTCGGGGAAAATTAGGGTTGTAGCAGCTTGTCTACATTACTACGGTTAAAAAAGAGGTGTCATTTGTGTAGTAAGAACGTTTAGCTGAGGAGTTATTGATCCGGGAAGTTCGAATCTGTGAATTTATTGCCAAATTTACTTAACTAGTCGAGTTTTGATATCTCCTAACGTTGCGTAGTGCAGTGGCATAGACTGTGCAGTCGATATCCTGTCAATTCATGGGAGAGAATGTTGCTACCGCCACCTGCTGCTAGAAGTGATTGGCAAACGGTTTGCCAGAATATACCCTGACCCTGTAAGAGACATGTGTGTCCCTTTTAAAATTGTACAATGCAGAAATTGCAGATGTTCTTTCAAAGACTGGGTGGGGTAACGTTACCGTGGAAACGGAAGACGTGGAGACCTGCGAGGGTTTTATACAGACCCTGAATTTCCTGAGCATTGCCCAGACTGCCAGTTTTAGGGGGCAGGAATGAGGTGTGGTGTGCACAGTGTGCAATAGTTTATTTGGTCTATAGTCTATAGTTTATTCTCTTGAAATAGGGACTTCCCCCACAACCTTATGGGCCTGACTGTGGCATCTTCATTCTAATGGTCAGATTTGACTAATTTTACTAATTAGATTGTGTAATTTCCAATAAATATTGCAAAACCATGAAGTGTTAATTTGATCTGGATTGTTTGGTAAATTGTCTGATCATGTGAATCTACGTATATTTTAAAAACAGAAGTGGTTACATTTAAAAAAAAAAAAGAAAAAAAAGAATTGAATATCCAAATGGGCAAGGCAAAAAACTGTGGTCAATTAACATGTACAAGTCTGTTGTATTGACAAAACGTTATAGTCCATTGATCTAGGCTGAATTTAAGTCACAAAAAATAGTGATATGATCTGAACAATATATATTTTTAAGGTGGTTCTTGTGAATGCAGTTTGCATGAATTATTGATGTTATAATATTAGGTATATAATTGAGAATTGTTTTATGTAAAGAGATATGATAAAGATCATATTTCAATTTGCACACAGCTTTTATATTATATATTTTAAGTCATAAAAGTAAAATGACAATACGGAAAAGACGTGTGCAATTAAGCCTGCAAAGAATACTGTCTATCCAGAGGTGAAAACAGAAAATAAATATGCTGTCTATCCAGAGGTGAAAATATAAAATAAATATGTCTATCCAGAGGTGAAAATCTAAAATAAATATATGTCTATCCAGAGGTGAAAATATAAAATAAATATGCTGTCTATCCAGAGGTGAAAATATAAAATAAATATGCTGTCTATCCAGAGGTGAAAATATAAAATAAATATGTCTATCCAGACAGAGGTGAAAATATTAAATAAATATGTCTATCCAGAGGTGAAAGAGGTGAAAATATAAAATAAATATGCTGTCTATCCAGAGGTGAAAATATAAAATAAATATGCTGTCTATCCAGAGGTGAAAATATAAAATAAATATGTCTATCCAGAGGTGAAAATATAAAATAAATATGCTGTCTATCCAGAGGTGAAAATATAAAATAAATATGCTGTCTATCCAGAGGTGAAAATATTAAATAAATATATGTCTATCCAGAGGTGAAAATATTAAATAAATATGTCTATCCAGACAGAGGTGAAAATATAAAATAAATATGTCTATCCAGACAGAGGTGAAAATATAAAATAAATATGCTGTCTATCCAGAGGTGAAAATATAAAATAAATATGCTGTCTATCCAGAGGTGAAAATATAAAATAAATATGCTGTCTATCCAGAGGTGAAAATATAACATAAATATGCTGTCTATCCAGAGGTGAAAATATTAAATAAATATGTCTATCCAGACAGAGGTGAAAATATTAAATAAATATGTCTATCCAGAGGTGAAAATATAAAATAAATATGCTGTCTATCCAGAGGTGAAAATATAAAATAAATATGCTGTCTATCCAGAGGTGAAAATATAAAATAAATATGCTGTCTATCCAGAGGTGAAAATATAACATAAATATGCTGTCTATCCAGAGGTGAAAATATTAAATAAATATGTCTATCCAGACAGAGGTGAAAATATTAAATAAATATGTCTATCCAGAGGTGAAAATATAAAATAAATATGCTGTCTATCCAGAGGTGAAAATATAAAATAAACATATGTCTATCCAGAGGTGAAAATATAAAATAAATATGCTGTCTATCCAGAGGTGAAAATATAAAATAAATATATGTCTATCCAGAGGTGAAAATATAAAATAAATATACTGTCTATCCAGCGGTGAAAACGGAAATTAGCGGCAAAACGGAAATGACGGAGAAAACGGAAATGACGTAGGCTGTCCATCCACTGGTGTCCAGCCACTGGTGTCTATCGAGAAGTGAGTCTGCGGGGCTGCAGCTGGATGCTATTGTACAAATCTCTTTTTGCAGATCGCAGCGGGACAGAGTGGACAAAAATCCACAAATGTGTAAAAAGGATTTGCAAATGTCACGTGACCTGCAAATTGCCCGGAAGCAATCCACAAATGCGTAAAAACAGTTTTGTGTGTAGAAATGGATCCACAAAAGCGTAAATCACACTTTGTATGTGAAATAAAAAGATATTTGTACAGATTAAATTGTGTGTATTTACAAATCACACATTATTTTTGTGAATATGATTTTACACAACACAAATGTAAAAATACATGTTTTAGGTTGTGAGATATTTGTGTATATGTTTTTTTAACAGATCTCTGCAGTACACATTGGACAAAATTCCACAAATGTGTTAAAAGGAACTTACAAATGTAACGTGACCCACAAATTCACAGGAAGTAATTTGCAAATGTGTAAAAACAGTTTTGTGTGTAGAAATGGTAGCCTCGTGAGACCATCCTGATCTCGCGAGCTTTCAAGGTTTCACTCGCAGATCAGTCTGGATACTTTCCGTTAAAGAAAATTTGGGAGCAGTTCACCAAACGAACGTCCAATCAGCGTTGGCTTTGAGGCGGGTTGAGGTGTGACGCAACGAGAAGCGCGTCAGTTCAGTCTAAAGAACATGTCGGCTTCAGCGGATGAAACTAGCATCAGCGTGGCTATCGAGCAAGTTTTATCGGAATTACAGAGTATTTCTTCACTGAAAGAAGAGCAAAACACTGCTCTGGAGGCTTTTCTCAGAGGAAAAGATACGCTCTGTTAGTACGTCATATGCTTCGTTGATCTGATTGGTTGATTTGGCCCGTCTATCACCAACATAGGCCAATCAGCTAACCAGTATTTTCGCCCCTTACCAAAACTACTTCAACGGAAGGTTTCCAGATGGATATGCGGAGCAAATCCATCTGGCGGAGTCAGGTTATAGAAATGGATCCACAAATGCGTAAATCACAATTTGTATGTGAAATAAAAAGATATTTGTACAGATTTAATTGTGTGTATTTGCAAATCGTGAGATAATTGTGTATATGTTTATTTACAGATCTCCGCAGTACACATTGGACAAAATTCCACAAATGTGTAAAAAGGAATTTACAAATGTAACATGACCCACAAATTCACAGGAAGTAATCTGCAAATGTGTAAAAACTGTTTTGTGTGTTACACATCACCCTGTTTTTTTGTGGATATTATTTTACGTATCACAAATGTAAATATACACATTTGCAGATAGTGAAATATTTGCGCATCATTTTACACATTTGTAGATTGTCTTCTGTGGGTTATAAATATTAAAGTCCAATTAATTCTTCCATACTCCTCTCCCAGTTGGAGCCCAGTGTCTGGCACCCGGACCCGGCTCATCTGCAGCTTTGGGGCCATTGGGTTAAATCCTTCCCTGGAGCATTGTGACCCTGCTGTTATTCACACCATCTCTAATGCTAGGGCTTCTTCCACACGACAGATTTATGCTTCCTGTTGGAAGCTTTTTTCTGCATGGTGTGAGGAACGGGGGCTTGATCCTGCAACATGTGACATTCCAAGTATCCTAAGCTTTATCCTCAAAAACATTGTAAGGGGTTAATATTTCAGTCAATCATTTCTCAATACAGTCAAAAAACAGAACGTTTGGTCCATTTTCAAAGTTCCATTTACCAAGGTTATATTGAGTTTGTTAGATGGTTAGTTCATATCGAAAGTTCATCTGATGGCTACATCCTAAATAAAAGGAAGTAAGATTTATTCTGTTTTATTGTTAGATCTAGAATGGAAAGTTAGTCATCTTTAGACAGAAAAAATGGGAAGTATGATATGATTTTATCACATGATAGAAATATAAAATCAGAATTATGTGGTTAGTAACATAATTAATCTTATCTATTATAATTTCCACGACACCCTTTAAAGGAAAGGTTGTGCGGAAAACCCTTATATAGAGATTGGCTGTGTTTTATGCAAATGAAACAAAAACTTGTGCACACTGAAGCTATTTAGAATACTCCAAATTCTCTAACATTAGAACGAGATTAAGAACAAATACATGTGTGTAGCTACGTGCTCTGAATTAGGGGGAGATTTTTCGTGAGAAGTTCTCCTGTGCTTACATAATAATCCACGCAATTATTAGTGAATGAGACCCATTGTTTTGACATATATCATGTTATGGCCTTTTGTTTAAAGGACAATAAAGTGCATACATCTTAAACTAAACTAATTTATGTTAAATAAGTTATTATAACATCTCCACGTATGGGAAAATATATTTACACCCTCTTTGAACATTCCTCTGTATCAAATCAGACACTGGATCGACATAAGGCGCTCCAAATTAGACGTATTAATTCAAATCCTTTTTCATATAACATTTCTGTTCTTAAATGTGAAAAAAAGAGATTCATTTAAATTCTTTGTGGTTTTCAGATTTATACATTCAGATAAGTTTCACAAGTTTTTTCTTCTTTCGCTTTTGTTTCACCATTGCAGTTGATGAAGTCTTGTCAGTTCCTTACCCCCACCTACTTAATCATGAGCCTCAGTTGGATTTGGTAATGCTGCTGCAGCTTCATCAGAAGAAGAGCTATGGCCTCCACCGTCACGGTATTTCTGCTCCTGTCTGCGGGTTTATTCACAGTCGGTAAGTTATAGCCTACGGGCTGTTACAAAAATCTAAAGAAACACTTTATACTTGTTTTTGGGTGGTTTACAGAAAATAAATAAATAAATGCTGATACTTCAGAATTTATCGGTTGTTTGTTTTGTATAAAATGTTTCACATTTCCCCTGTTCTTTAAGGTTTTGGAGATGACTGTAGAAGCTACACCACCAGCAGTAACGAGTACAAGCCCTCTATAAGTTGCCAGTATGGGGAGCACTGCTGTGGGACTTGCAATAACAGATACTGCTGCTCCAGTCCTTATTCGAAGTTAACCGATCAAAACGTGTGCAATGTGTAAGACATTTTAATTCGATTCTGTCTTAATTAAAATGTCTTTTAGACCCAAAAGTCCTTTTCCACAAAAGGAGAGAAATTCTTAAAAGTCTTAAAAAAAAAAAAAAAAAAACATCATTATATTTTTTTGGGTCAGCTATTGCTTTAATTTCTCCCTCATGATCTGAAACTGTTAACTCAACTAGTGATAAATCAGTGAACTGTTAAGTCCATATTGATTTCTACTGAAATATTTGGTGTGTAGGCTGTCTAATTGCTGAGGTTAATCTCAAACCTGCAACCTAATCAAATGCACTTTTTTTTGTTTTTGCGATGTATGTCACTTTTGCAATCCGGTTTTGTCTCCCCGTGTGTCGCTCCACTTGTCGTTTCCTACAGAGGATGTGGTCGTTTTTACTAAACTGCAGTATGCAAAATGCATCCCCCAGATTGACACGTTACAATTTGAACTACCACTTTGTGTAGTGCAAGGTGGGAAAATGCTTTGCTTGATATTTAAAGAACAAAAAATGTAAAGTTTTGGGCTGCGAAAGCTGTAGTGTTCACATCTATAAAGTCAATTTAAAGACAAATGAGGCAAGAGAGAAGGAGCATGATGCAACATTAAAACATTTTGTTGAGGGGATTTACAGGGTGTCGAAGGCAAGAAAAGGCGGGACCACAGAAAAACTGTTTGCTTTTTAAACAAATGTTTTAGTTAAAAAAATTATATATTTATATTTTTGCCAGTCTAGTGGCTAAGTTTGCAAATTTGATATTGTCAATTTTTAATAGGCCTAATCGCACAATGCAACTATCCATGGCTTTGATTCTCAAAAGTATCATGAGCTAAGTTGATCTTAGAGCCCATTGGTGGCAATTGTTTTACAATCTACTCAGGCCTACGATGCTTTTGGGAAATGCAGCCCTGTGCAGTAACACCATGTGTTTTTATTATACGGAAAAGAGCAGCTTTTATATTTTGACAATAACTAATTTTGTGTTCCACAAGATAAGAGTCATACGCATTTCAAGCAACATGAGATTGAATGGACAGACACTTTTTATTTACAACCTACTACAATATGCAAGCATCTTAATTATTAATGCTGCAAATGTTTTATTTTGGAAGTTGCAATCAAAATCTGCCCCTACAATCTTAATAATAACGGTTCCAAAAGAGGATTTTCGAAACGATGCCATAGAAGAACCATTTCCGGTTCCCCTAAGAAACTTTCAGTGAACGGCTCTAAAAAGAACTTTATTGAAATTTTCTTCACACTGAGAAAAATGATCTAAAGAACCATTAGTGCAATGCAAAGTTTTCATGAATGTAAGAGTTCGTCATGAAACAATAGATGCCAATAAAGAATCTTTATTTTTAAGAGTGTAGAAGTGAATTTTAATCTCCAGTCTCCAAACTAACTGCAGATACATAGGAAAATAAATAATATGTCTATAAACAAAATGATCATTGATCAATAATCAAAAATAAAATTATAATATAAATACGATTTTATTGATTTATAATGCTTGTTCCTTCATGTTTTGTCATAGTCAGTCCAGCAAACAAAGCAGTGAAAGCCCCGCCATTGTCTCAGGAATAATGGTGATTGTGTTCATATGCATTGTGATCGTCATCTGCCGCCGCTGCCCCTGCTGCTGGTTGTATAAAATTTGCAGACCACCCACAAGTAAGTGTTTTAGTGTCAGTAGAACGTTACAATGTAATATTATTTAGGATATAGGAATTATAAGAATTATATATTTAATTCGGTCTTGTTTTTCCCACAGCTGTGGTAGGAGGAACGCATATAACCACAGTTGTGAATACAATTCAGCAGCAGCAGCCGCCGCCTGTCATGCAGCCCGCTCAGTATCCAGCATACCAGCCTGTCCCGACTCAACCGGGCTACGGCGCTCAGCCTATGCAGACGGGACCATATCAGGGACAGCCATACGCACCAGGACCCCCAGCCTCATATAACATGGCCGGTGAGAAGACCTAGCACTAGAGCAGGGGAGAAAAACTTATTTTAGTTTAGTTTAGTTCTACCCCTGCTCCAACACACACACACCTGTAGTTTTCAAAATAAGCCTGAAGGGTTGAAGCTAAATGGTTCACGCCATGTCGTAATTACCGTAATGATTCTGAACTGTAAAAAGCCTTCAAGTACATGTAGAACTTATAATTACAACGTGTGAACTGGTCATTTTCTCAGAGCTACGACTTGTAGCATGTGGCCGCTGTACCACCTGACCACTGCAGATTTAAGGTGTGTTTGACTTAAAGTGGCGCTGTGCAGACCGATCGGTGTATGACATCAAAATACAGCGAGATTCGAAAGCATACGGAGCTTTATTTATGGTCATTACGACATGGCGTGCACGCAGCATAGAACTGAGTTTGCACCCCTGTACTAGAGATTGCATTCACTGGTTGGATAGTTGAATACTTCAAACAGTAGCCGTAGATGTCGGAAGCTATCGAGAACTTGAGTGTACAATAACCATAACAACACTTGTTTTTTTTTTTTTATTCACTAAAAGCAAACCAGCAAGCCATGAATGCGAATGCTCAAAGAGAGTTACTGTGTCTGAAATCTCTTACTTCCATAGTAGGCAGAAAACAGTATGTGACAAAAGAAGTATGACCGAATTCACAGTACTTTTGAGTAGGCAAAAAGTACCCGAATGACCTTCTACTTCCAGTGAGATTCTGAAGTGTGGATGGACACTTTACTATCCCATAAGGCCACAGGAGAGGATTTGTGAATGGCAGGGTAGATCACATGATAATAAAGTGAGTGAAAGTGACGTGAAGTATGAGACCTATACTTAGAATATGTCCTCTCCATTTAACCCATCCAAGTTAGTGCACACACATTAGGAGTAGTGAGTAGTAAACAAACACACACACTGCAAACTGTGGACACACACACCCAGAGCAGCCATTTTTGCTGTTGCGCCCAGGGAGCGATTGGGGGTTAGGTGCCTCGCTCAAGGTCACTTCAGTCATTTCCTTCTGGTATTGAGACTGACTCTTTAACCATTAGGCCACAACTGCATAATGACAACATGACGAATGTAGTACGTCCGGATTACATTCATACATATTCATACTATACAGAACATACTTTTATAGGTACTTATTAAAAATAAGTACCTAGTATGCGATTTCAGACGCAGACAGTTTGTGCCAGGAGGACGCATATCGGCAGCAAAGGGGGTGTTTGCAAGCACCCTTCTGAAAAGCACCTAAAATCACAAATGGGACACACTACGGTCTTCTGGACTGAGCACTTGTGGTGGCCATTGTAAGTCCACAAGACCATAAGTGCAAATGAAGTGTGCCATCTTTTTACAATACAAGATAGACATAATTGTTGGGCTTTCAGTTAATAAACACTAGTTGGCACTTGTTTTTTGTCCTTTTTTTTGTACCACAGGTACTCAAGTAACTGTTGTTTTGACTAGGAGAAATCAGTAGTCGTGCAACCCCTACCTAGTACTGGACAGATTGAGACAATGTACTGATATTTTCCTTGAAAATAATTAGTGTCTTTTTGCATTTCCAGCAAACGCTGGATATCCGAGTGTTCAGGCTCCATATGACGGAAGTCAGGCCACGTACCCCATGATGCCCCCTGCCCAGCCCGGTATCACTTATCCGCCCCCTGCCCAGTAGTGCTTATCCGCCCCCAGAGACATCCGATCGGCCTATAACCACGCCTACATGCAGCCACCGAAGACCGGATACTAAACCACAAGCGTCTGTCACATCAATCACTGTTGGATTGTGGAGGTTTGACACACTTTCACTCGGCAGTAAGAATGCCTCAGATTCTATGCAGATTATATAAGACTAGTGGATGTGTTATAGTCATCATTAGAGTTACTACTAGAGTTAGTATTAGAGAATACATATAGTTATTTCTGTTTTATTTTCAATCAGTCCTTTCAGTTTAGGTTTCACTCTGCGACACCCTGTAAAAGTAAAGATTTTTTTATTAAGCTGTACATACAACAAAGATTATTGGAGTACATTTTAAAAGAAAATACCATTTCATTTATACAATTTGATATACTAAAAAACGAAAATGGTCATTTTTAAAGCTACAATGTGTAACTTTTTAAGTTGATTCTTACCAAAAAACACTTTGTTCTTTCAAAAGTATATGTGCTCATTCATGTGTAATTACTTAAATCAACTAATAAAGTATTCTCGTAAGCGTAGAATCTGGCATTTACAATACATAAGAGTGAGTCGCTCAAATGGCGGCAGCCATGTTGCTAAAATACATTAGCCAAAGAGGGACATACCTGGACATTCAAGCTTCGCCTTTCGCGCTTTTACACTCAGTGCCGCTGTGACGAATGCGAGGGGAGATTACTTGCGAGTCGTGACTGCCGGTAGCAAATCCAACCAGTAGCAAATCTCGATGGGTAGCATGAATCGTCGGAACATCTGTTGAAAGCCTGTTGAAGATGGAGGATCACGCCTATTCTCACACCTCCGGTGTCGCATCAACTGATCTGTTTCACACACACACTCTGTTTGCAGTGCGTGTTTGCAGTGTGTATGCCTATGCGGCAGGAGCAGCGCGCGCTAGTGTGCTTTCACATATGCTGCATATGCTGCGTTTGCAGTGCACGACGTTTTGGCTGTACCAAAAACAACATTTATTCACAATTGTTTATTTTAAATCACTATTTTTATTATCAACATCTTTTATAAAATAATTTTATAAAATCGTTTCAGTATTTCGATTCTATTTGTACACATAGGTCTACACTCTTTCACAGATGTGCACTTTAAACTCAATAGATTTAAAACACGTATTATTCAATGCATTACGTCTATATAGATTTATATATTAAGTTGCTCAAGCAAGTGACAAAACATTTAAACAGGCCTACTTATGTTATCATTGCAAACATTTTAGATTAAAACATACAATAGACAAAAACAGCCGTCTCTCATACCTTTTCTTTGCATTTAAATATTTTTTTACAAGAAATATTGTGGTAGAGGCCATAACCTACATGTTAACTGACTAAATAACTAAATGCAATTTGCTACGGCCACCGTAGGAGTTAAAATGCCCTCGGAATGGGAGGGGCTTGAAATTAATATTCAGTTGGTAGTCATATACCATTCACCGCTAGATGGGAGTAAATCCTACACACTGTAGCTTTAAGTTGTAGTTTAGTTTATTTGTGCAATTTTGCTTTTGTATTTTCGTTTTTGTTAACAGCACAACGCTCACAGAAACATGAATGGCTTCGATTTTTACATTTTAGCCAGCAGGATCTGTGATTTTATTTTAAGAAAGTGTCAATGTTTTCCATTTTAAATTCTTTCCTTTGAGGGTCTAAAATGCAGTTGCATTTGAATAACAATGAGTGATGCTGCATTTCCATAATTTTGTCACAAGTCTCACCGACTTGTTTTGACCTGTTGAAAAGGTATTTTATTAAAGGAACCTTTTTTAAAGCATTAGGAAACCACATGTTTTTGTACGGTCTTTCACGGTTCCTTTTTTTAGATTGTTGTTTCGGGTTACATTGTTTTTTGAGATGGAGCCTATTTTTTTTAAAACTGTTATAGATTTAGTAAATGTTTAACTGCTGTTTTATATTTATGCATTTCTATATGTGTGAGAAATGTGAAAAGTTTGATTGTTTAAATAAATATCTTACTGTCTCTTTAAAAAAAAGGGAATTTAAAGAAAGGTCTACAGGAGAACATAAAAAATTTGAAAAACTCAACAAAGTCGACAACGGACAGCAAACCTGCTGGAGAAAAATACACCTAAAGATTTTGGACTTTTTTGCAATGGTTTTTGCAAATATTTTGGACTTTTATGCAATGTTTGGTGAAGTTACACCACTTGAATGTTTATAGGACCCCCTACTGGTAAAATAAAAAAGGAATGTATTTAAATATTTCTAAATTCTGTGTAAATACTTTTTAAACTTATTTTTACAGATTAGTAGCAAGATTTTTTTTTTACTGTTTTGAATATGATGCTGAATATATTCAAATATACTCAAATATGTGTTCCTGTTTTTGTGTGCCTTTTGATATTCAATAAATCAGTTATTCCTGCAACTGATTCGTCCTCTTTTCCCACCCTGACAAAGAGTGCATGACTGTTGGAATCATTGCAGTTGTGGATGATGTGATGGACCCGGTTACGTGCGACTGCAGTGATGTAGCCCTCATGAAGTATGAAATGTAACTTCCATTTTGATTATTTTTCATTGTTTTAAGTACATTATCCTTTAAACACAGAGCAATTGAAGTGTCATTTTATTAGACAAAAAGAGACCTGGTTTTTTTTTCCTGTGTATTTTGAGAAATTATTTTTTTCAAAGAAACACTGGCTATTGAGACTTAAAATTGACTGTTTCAATTTAAAAAAAAAAAAAATCCAGGTTACTTGAAATAAGTAATTGGGTCAATTGTTTAACTATGCCAACAAAAAAAATTCAAGTTGAAATCCTTAATATTCTAAGTACATACAACTTAAATCAAAGCAAAAACATAACTCAAAAAGTTAAAGGGTTAGTTCACCCAAAAATGAAAATTATGTCAAAAATTTTCATTTTTGGTTATTTCATTTTTGGATATTTTAGATTTAGTCCTCTCGGACTAAATCTAAAATATCTTAAACTGTGTTCCGAAGATGAACGGAGGTCTTACGGGCTTGGAACGACACGAGGGTGAGTCATTAATGACATCATTTTTGGGTGAACTAACCCTTTAAGTTGAGTGACAATTTTTTGTGTTTCACTTAAAAAAAATGTACCTCACAATGTTCACTCAAAATGCCAATCTCTAAAGTGACATATGCCGGGCTTCTTCAATCATCAGTGGGGAAAATCAAAGTGGGTCTTGTTCATCATATTTACTTTTATATAATAGTAATAGAATTTAAATGTATTAGCAAGTGTGATTCATGAGATAGCCGCTTTTGGTGTCGTAGGTGGCCGATTCACTATTCGCGGATTTATAATTGAACCACTCGTTTTAAAATCTTCCTAACATTTGCTATGACATCTGCTTCAAAAATTACAATGCTCATGATAACTTCTATTTTATTCTACAATATGTAAATCCACTTCACCAGCTAATAACTCTTCGACAGCGATGCCATAAAAATATACAGAGATACCGCAAAAACGGAAGTTCAAAGTCAAACTAAGGTCTATAGGCGTGTAGTGACATCGCCAACTACTGGCCAGACATGAATTATACAACAATTTAGTCGTTTTCGCAGATCTGTGTGAACAGGGATCGTTTTAACAATGTTGTCGTTTGTACGCAAAAAATGCAAATGAAAAACTCAACTCAAAACAAGAAACTTTACTTTTACTGTTATCAACACTGGACCTTTTTCCACGCTCGAATATTTCTGGTAATATTTTACCATATCAATCTGAGCGTGAGTTCGTTGATGAAACATTGGAAGAACTCCAATCGCAAGGACAACTCGAGCAGGACGTTTCTCAGTGATACACTACTCAGTTTGAGGTACATTATGAGATGTTGCAACTGTAATTCCTCACCATCAGCAATAACAAGTGCATATCCATCAACAAACTTGATACAACTTACTTGTATTACTAGTATTTCTTCAAATGTATTGCGGTGAACGTGGAAACTGTATCAATAAAAGTGCATTGTGACATCACAACGAAACGGTTTATGACTCGTTTGAAAAACGATTCATTTCTTGACTCAGAGTCGACTCTTACTTTTGAAAGACAATAACTTAATATATGGTGCACTTTCAGATTTAAAACTTTGCAGGATGTTTTCATTCAATTAGAGCTATGTTACAATAGGCCTACATGAAAGTTCATTTTCAAAATCCATAATAGGGGCACTTTAAAGTTCAGAGAACATTCAAAAATAAAAATTGTATAACCGGACGGTTGCGAAACATTCTTAGAACATAGCCTATTTTGTTCTATTTTCGGCCGCTATTTAGGATACTCCAAATTCTCTAACATTAGAACGAGATTAAGAACAAATACATGTGCGTACGTATGCTGTGAATTGGGGGGAGATTTTTTCGTAAGAAGTTCTCCTGTGTTTACAAATACGAAATAATGCAATTATTAGTAAATGAGACCCACATTGACACACGTATATTTTATGGCCTTTTGTTTAATGGTCAATAATGTTAAATAAGTTATTATAACATATGGGGAAAATATATTTACACCCTCTTAATTTTTTTTTATCTTAGCCTACGTTTTGAACGTTAGGCCTACTCTGTATCAAATCAGACACTGGATCAACATAAGGCTCCAAATTAGAAGTATTAATTCGAATCGTTTTTTATATAACATTTCTGTTCTTAAATGTGAAGAAAAAAAAAGAGATTCATTTAAATTCTTTGTGATTTCCAGATTTACACATTCAGATAGTTTCACAAGATTTTTCTTCTTTCGCTTTTGTTTCACCGTTGCAGTCGGTTGCAGTTGATGAAGTTTTGTCGGTTCCTTATACGCCCACCTACTTATATATTCATGAGGCTCAGTTAGATTGTAATGCTGCAGGTTTCATCAGAAGAATGGCCTCCACCGTCGCGGTTCTTCTGCTTCTGTCTGCGGGTTTATTTACAGTAGGTAAGTTAGACGGCCTGTTACAAAAATCTAAAGAAACACTTTTATCTTTTTGGGCGGTTTACTGACAATAAATAAACCAATTCTGATACTTTAGAATTTACCGGTTGTTTGTTTTGTATAAAATGTGTCACATTTCCCCTGTTCTTTAAGGTTTTGGTGATGATTGTAGAAGCTACATCACCAGCAGTAATGAGTACAAGCCCTTTATAAGATGCCAGTATGGGGAGCACTGCTGTGGGACTTGCAATAACAGATACTGCTGCTCCAGTGCTTATTCGAAGTTAACCGATCAAAACGTGTGCAAAATGTAAGACATTTTAATTCTGTCTTAATTCAAATGTCTTTTAGACCCAACAGTCCTTTTCCACAAAAGGAGAGAAAAAAGCCATTTTGGGTCAGCTATTGTTTTAATTTCTCCCTCATGATCTGTAGCTGTTAACTGATAAATCAGCGAACTGTGAAGTCCATATTGATTTCTTCTGAAATGTTTGGTGTGTATCTAATTGCTGAAGTTAATCTCTAACCTGCAACCTAATCAAAAAAAAAATTTTGTAATGTTTTTGCGATTTATTATGTTACTTTTGCAATCCGGTTTTGTCTCTCCGTGTGTCGCTCCACCCATCGTTTCCTATACAGAGGTTGTGGTCGTTTTTTACTAAACTGCAGCTTGCGAGATGCACCCCCCCAGATTGAAACGATACAGTTTGAACAGCCACTTTGTGTAGTGCAAGGTGGGAAAATGCTTTGCTTGATATTTAAAGAACAAAGAATGAAAAGTTTTTGGCTGTGGAAGCTGTAGTGTTCACATTTATAAAGTCAATTTAAAGACAAATGAGGCAAGAGAGAAGGAACATGATGCAACATTTTTAAAAAAAAATTGTTGAGGGGATTAACAGGATGTCGAAGGCAAGAAAAGGCGGGACCACAGAAAAACTGTTTGTTATATAAACAAATGTTTTAGTAAAAAAAAAAAATATATATATATATATATATATATATATATATATATATATATATATATATATATATATATATATATATATATATATGTGTGTGTGTGTGTGCCAATCTACTGGCTTAGTACATTTTTCAAATTTAGTACATTTTTAATAATCCAAGCACAATGCAACTATCCAGGGCTTTGATTCTCAAAAGTATCATGAGCTAAGTTGATCTTAGAGCCCATTGGTGGCAATGGTTCTACGATCTACTCAGGCCTAAGATACTTTTGGGAAATGCAGCCCTGTGCAGTAACAACATGTGTTTTTATTATACGGAAAAGAGCAGCTTTTATATTTTGACAATAACTAATTTTGTGTTCCACAAGATAAGAGTCATACGCATTTCAAGCAACATGAGAGTGAATGGACAGATACTTTTTATTTACTACCTACAATATGCTAGCATCTTAATTATTAATTCTGCAAATGTTTTATTTTGGAAGTTGCAATCAAAATCTGCCCCTACAATCTTAATAATAACGGTTCCAAAAGAGGATTTTCGAAACGATGCCATAGAAGAACCATTTCCGGTTCCCCAAAGAAACTTTCAGTGACCGGCTCTAAAAAGAACTTTATTAAAATATTCTTCACACTGAGAAAAATGATCTAAAGAACCATTAGTGCAATGAAAAGTTTCCATGAATGTAAGGGCTCTTCATGAAACAATAGATGCCAATAAAGAACCTTTATTTTTAAGAGTGTAGAAGTGAATTTTAATGTCCAGTCTCCAAACTAACTGCAGATACATATGAAAATAAATAATATTTAAATAAACAATGATACAATGATAATTAAAAATAAAATTATAATATATAAATACGATTTTATAGATTTATAATGCTTGTTGCTTCATATTTTGTCATAGTCTGTCCAACAGCCAAAGCAGTGGTGGGCCCGCCATTATTTCAGGAATAATGGGGATTGTGGTCATATGCGTTGTGTTCGTCATCTGCTGCTGCTGCCCCTGCTGCTGTATCTATAAAATGTGCAGAACACCCAGACGTAAGTGTTTTAGTGTCAATAAAACGTTACAATGTTAAATTGTTTAGGCTGGTAGTAAAATGATAAGAATTATATTTCAGTACGTTACAATGTAATATTATTTAGGATATAGGAATTATAAGAATTATATATTTAATTCGGTCTTGTTTTTCCCACAGCTGTGGTAGGAGGAACGCATATAACCACAGTCATGAACACACAATGCATTCAGCAGCAGCAGCCGCCGCCTGTCATGCAGCCCGCTCAGTATCCAGCATACCAGCCTGTCCCGACTCAACCGGGCTACGGCGCTCAGCCTATGCAGACGGGACCATATCAGGGACAGCCATACGCACCAGGACCCCCACCACCATACCACATGGCCGGTGAGAACACCTAGCACTAGAGCAGGGGAGAAAAACTTATTTTGTTTCAGCTTAGTTCCAACCCTGCTCCAACACACACACACCTGTAGTTTTCAAAATAAGCCTGAAGGGTTGAAGCTAAATGGTTCACGCCATGTCGTAATTACCGTAATGATTCTGAACTGTAAAAAGCCTTCAAGTACATGTAGAACTTGTAATTACAACGTGTGAACTGGTCATTTTCTCAGAGCTACGACTTGTAGCATGTGGCCGCTGTACCACCTGACCACTGCAGATTTAAGGTGTGTTTGACTTAAAGTGGCGCTGTGCAGACCGATCGGTGTGTATGACATCAAAATACAACGAGATTCGAAGAGCATACGGATATTTTTGTAATATTTTTTTTCACTACTCCTAATGCACACACATTAGGAGTAGTGAGTAGTAAACACACACACACACTGCAAACTGTGGACACACACACCCAGAGCAGCCAGGGAGCCACAGCCTGAGTCTGACTCTCTAACCATTAGGCCACGACTGCAGCATAATGACAACATGGTGAATGTAGTATGTCCGGATTACATTCATACTACACATATTCAAACTATACAGAACATACTTTTATAGGTACTTATTCAAAATAAGTACCTAGTATGCGATTTCAGACACAGCCAGTATGTGGCAGGAGGTCGATGACAGCAAATAGACTACATGAATTTTGTCGTATTCTATTATAAACTATATTGAACCATTTGAGTAAAGATCTAAATTACATGAGTAGTTAAGCCCCGTTCACACTACAAGCGACTTTGTCGCTACATGTCGCCAGTGGCTGCGCTGGAGGGCGTTCCCACTACTGGTTGCCTAGTAATGTTTATGAGTGACATTCACGGATGTTACTCTATGTTAGACAACAAATACGTTTTCTTGCCGCTACAAACAATTATTTTTGAAGGAAAAGTCTAAATATAAATGGAATCAGTACATAAAATGCATAATATTAAAGATGAACGAGAAACAGTGAGTGCTCTTTGCCATCGCGGCTATTTAACTGCAGCAAACAGGCGAATGCCGGTCTATCTTGGTTCCCGAAACCATTCAGGCACGGAGTCAGTACGGTGAATACCACTGTATGTACATGGAGATATATGATAAATTATAGGACAGTTTCTGACTGCTAAAACGACCTTCTCGTTCAACTTGCCTCGGTCAGACTCAGCACTGAAGAGTGACGCGCTCCACTGACTTCACTCCTATTGGTTGTCGCTCCCGAAAGTCGCTCTTCATTTGCATAAAGTTAAACAGATCTCAACTTTGTCGCGTTGCCGCAAATCGCCCGCTCCCCATTGAAATGAATGGTATCGTGTCGCTTTGTCGCTTGTAGTGTGAACAGGGCTTTATTGTTTGACTGTTGTAGACCTGTGAAATGTTATATGAGGATGTGAATGTTGTATAATACCCCTAGGCTAACTGTAAAAATTAATTTTGTTAATATATTTATGTATGCACATATTATTTGACATCAAAGACGCGGAAGCTAAGTTTATAATGGCCCTGTCCCAAGATGGCACCCTTAAAGCAACACTAAGTAAGATTTTTTACCTTAAAATAATGCTTTCAAAATCGTGAAACATGGTGAAATGCACTTATGCCACCGCTTTGCGGTCCTATATCTGATATATCCACGCTATGTAAGATTGCCAGATCGGGTCGCGTTTCTGTAGTCCGAATGAGACATAAGAAAACTACAAATTTGACTTGCTTTACGGCAAGCGTTACAATTGCTAATAGGTGGAGCGTACTCGACAGTAGACTACAACTACATGTAAGATAGGCTACCTAGCAGCCGGGTAGCTTTTGAATTGTCATCATGATTACAAAGCCGGTGCTGGATAAACAGAGAGCATGTGCGTGCGCGTGCGACAGTAGGATGCGGTAGGCTAAATTATTTACAACAGCAGTAATGGACAATTCCGCTTCCAACCTGTAGGGCGACCGCAGAGGAAAAGTTACTTGGTGTTGCTTTAACACTCGCAGTCTTGGCACTCGGCAAAAGTGTGCATCAAAGGCGCATATCGGCAGCAAAGCGGGTGTTTGCAAGCACCCTTCTGAAACCTAAAATCACAAATGGGACATCCTACGGTCTTCTGGACTGAACACTTGTGGCGGCCATTGTAAGTCCACAAGACCGTGAGTGCAAATGAGGTCGTGCCATCTTTTTACAATACAAGACAGACATAATTGTTGGGCTTTCAGTTAACAAACACTTGCTGGCACTTATTTTTTGTCTTTTTTTTTACCACAGGTACTGAAGTAACTATTGTTTTGACTAGGAGAAATCAGTAGTTGTGCAACCCCTACCTAGTACTAGACAGACTGATACCATGTACTGATATTTTCCTGGAAAATAATTAGTGTATTTTTGCATTTCCAGCAAGCCCTGGATATCCCAGTGTTCAGGCTCCATATGACGGAAGTCAGGCCACGTACCCCATGATGCCCCCTGGCCAGCCAGGTAGTGCTTATCCACCCCCTGCCCAGCCCGGTATCGCTTATCCGCCCCCAGAGTCATTCGATCAGCCGGCCTATAACCCCGCCTACATGCAGCCACCGAAGACTGGATACTAAACCACAAGCGTCTGTCACATCAGTCACTGTTGGATTGTGGAGGTTTGACGCACTTTCACTCGGCAATAAGAATCCCCCGGATACTATGCAGATTATATAAGACTAGTGGATGTGTTATAGTCAGAGTTATTTCTGTTTTATTTTCAATCAGTCCTTTCAGTTTAGGTTTTGCTCTGCGACACCCTGTAAAAGTAAAGATTTTTTATTAAGTTGTAAATAAAACAAAGATTATTGGAGTAAGTTTTAAAAGAAAATACCATTTCGGTCTTTCAAATTTTCTAAATTTCCAGTAATTTTACATTTCTTTGTAATTAATTGTGAAAGTTTTACTAGCGATTTACAAGTGAAAATTGTTTCTACACTAGTTTTAACTTTCAGTGTTAATTATTCTAGTATTATATTGAACTGTGTAATATATTGCATATCTTTTGATACAATTTGATACACTAAAAAAATCTAAAATCTAAAATACAACGTGGTCATTTTTAAAGGAAGGTTGTATTTTGCTGTTGTATTTTTCGTTTCGTTTTCATTAACAGCACAACGCTCACAGAAACATGAATGTCTTCAATTTTACATTTACGCTAGCAGGATCTGTGATTCTATTTTAAGAAGTGTCAATGTTTTCCATTTTAAATTCTTTCCTTTGAGGGTCTAAAATGCAGTCGCATTTGAATAACAATGAGTGATGCTGAATTTCCATAATTTTGTCAGTTGAAAAGGTATTTTATTAAAGGAACCTTTGTTAAAGCATTAGGAAACCACATGTTTTTGTACGGTCTTTCACAGTTCCTTTTTTTTTAGATTGTTGTTTCGGGTTACATTGTTTTTTGAAATGGAGCCTATTTTTTTTAAAACTGTTATAGATTTTGTAAATGTTTAACTGCTGTTTTATATTTCTATATTTCTATATGTGTGAAAAAATGTGAAAAGTTTGATTGTTTAAATAAATATCTTACTGTCTCTTTTAAAAAAAGGGAATTTAAAGAAAGGTCTACAGGAGAACATAAAAATTGTAAAACTAAACAAAGTCGACAACGGACAGCAAACCTGCTGGAGAAAAATACACCTAAAGATTTTGGACTTTTTTTGCAATGGTTTTTGCAAATGTTTTGGACTTTTATGCAATGTTAGGTAAAGTTACACCACTTGAATGTTTATGGGACCCCATAAACATTCAACATTCACCTACTGGTGAAATAAAAAAGGAATGTATTTAAATATGTCTAAATTCTGTGTATATACTTTTTAACCTTATTTTTTACAGATTAGTAGCAAGATTTTTTTTTACTGTTTTTTAATATGATGCTGAATATATTCAAATATGTGTTCCTGATTTTGAATGCCTTTTGATATTCAATAAATCAGTTATTCCTGCAACTGATTCCACCTCTTTTCCCACCCTGATAAAGAGTGGCATGACTGTTGGAATCATTGCAGTTGTGGATGATGTGATGGACTCGGTTACGTGCGACTGGAGTGATGTAGCCCTCATATTGGAAGAAGTCGTCATCCTTAGAAGTCTCTGTGAAGTATAATGTAACTTCCATTTTGATTATTTTTCATTGTTTTAAGTACATTGTCACCTTTAAACACTGAGCAATTGAAATGTAATTTTATTTTTCCTTTTTATTTTGAGAAATTATTTTTTCAAAGAAACACTGGCTATTGAAACTTGTATATATTTGACTGTTTTGACCTTTAAATTTGTTCATTTGTAAAAGAAACAGTTGACAAAGTCATTTATATGTGTTTAGTACAGACAACTTGAAAAAGAACGTTTTATAATATTTCAACAACATTTTTTTTAAATCTAGTTACTTGAAATAAGTAGTTGAGTCAATTGTTTAATTATGGCAACAAACATTTCAAGTTGAAATCCTTACTATTTTAAGTACATACAACTTAAATCAAAGCAAAAACATAACTCAAAAAGTTAAGTTGAGTGAACATTTCTTTTTAGTGTGCTTCACATTAGTGTGTTTACATTAAAAATTGAATGTATTAGCAAGTGTGATTGGTGCAATAGCCGCCTTTGGTGTTGTAGGTGGCTGATTCACTACAAGAAGTGAGAAAGAATGTCCGTCTTGACTGCACTTTCACTGACTGCAGCCGCCTACTCTTGTCTGCTTTCACTGCGAGGTGTTTGGCGTTTCAAACAAGCCTGATCATTGCTATTTGTGAATAGATTCACTGAAAAAAGAAATTAGAGCGAAAGAATGATTCATTCATGAACCTGTCCCTGTGCACACCTTCACGAACTGCGATTAACACAAAAAAAGTGTGTTTAGTGTATAGACTTTTATCTAACTATTAAAATGTAGCCTATATGCTGTACAGTGCTTGCGCAATTGTTAGGATAGTTTATATTCTGATCATAGGCCTGTTTTTCAAGCACATTTTACCAATTCCAAACCACATCAATCTTAATAATCACTATTAAGATTGTATTTTTTGATGAGGGATGTGTGGCTTACAGTACAAAACAACTTATATTCAGCTTATTAGGCAGTTTATTCATACATGTAAAATGCAGGGCCAAAAAAAAAGAGATTTAACTGACCCTGAAAATTCCAAAATTATGAAATGCCCATAAGGATGCAACGCTATGGAAATTTCGCAATGAAGGCATGATCTTCAGACAGTGAAATTCTCATTGGGTCACTCAGCCTATTCAGCAGGCTTGAGAAGAAAAGATGCATATTAACTGTGGAGTACTTTAAGAATTAAGGCAACGAATTAAAGCTGTGATGTAAAAGAAGTAGTGACATCTTTTCTTCTGTAACTTAAGTTTTAAAGTTTGGCATCAGTGCTGGGTAGTAACTGATTACGTAATCAGATTACAAAAAAAAAAAATAAGTAGGCCTATTTGTAGATTATATTACGTTATAAATATCAATAAGGTATATCAATATGGTACAATATTATCTTATTCAATTTTAATGTGATAAATGAGGTAAAAAGTAATCTAATTATATCACCTAAAATGTGCAATGTAATGGATTACTTTACTAACTAAATTTTTTGTAATGTAATTTGGAATCTGTAATGGACTACAATTTGTAAGCAATCGCACTGTTTGGAAGGAGGGTCAGCATACATTATTATTGTACTAACAATATTATTGATCTGGCTGTACTGACGCTGCTGTATGAGAATTTAACTGAGCTGGACAATGACATCATTTTTTGCAGAGCTGCTTTACAGATGAAATTAACTAATTCAATTATTGATGATCTTTAGAGCGGATCTGAATCAACTGCATTCACTTCAGCTGAACAACATTCAGCCGAAATGCATCATTTAGGCCTATTTATCACTGTAACGCTGCTTTGAAACAATCTGTATTGTATAAAGCGCCATGTAGGCTAAACAGCTAGTTGGGGCCTAAATCTCTTATATATTTTACCCCACTGTTTATTTTCTTTATTGGATATTTCAGGACTATTATTGTCAAGTAAGGTGACTTGACAATAATAGTCCTGAAATATCCAATAAAGAAAATAAAAAGTGGGGTAAAAAGATATTTAGGCCCAGCTGTTTTGAGAGAGAGAAAAAGGTATATCGACCAACTATCATCCATGTTCCCAAAACAAGCATAACAGACCTTCACTTCGTTTCGTTTTCGTTTTCTACAAAAAAGGATTCCGTTTGGGAGGGGCATTTTATGGAGAATCATGAGACCCACGTTGTGTGACACATCCTGTCCGGTATTCGGCCATTGATTCCCATTGTTGTAACGTTAGGTCCAACATCGTCTGTGTGTTGTGTAGGCTATGGTTTTCAGGAAAACGTTAATCTTTTACCCCGTGTTTATAGTCTAGACATCATCAGTCTCCTGGTTTAGAGTTAAACCTGAAAGTTTAGCTGAATTTGCCTTTACACAAGGCAGGGTCGAGGGCTAGTAGGCGTCTTCTCAAATTACAACATCATCCGCACTAAACACGCTATTGAAGGGGAATCATGGCGTCCACCGTCTCGGTTCTCCTGCTCCTGTTTGCGGGAATATTCACGGCGACAGTCGGTGAGTGTATAACATACCTAACAAAAAGGCTTCTTAACCTGTAATCTTTGTTCTTGTCGACGGTTTGTCCGGGAAAAACGATGTTTGTCAAGTATAGCTACAGCTGGATCAACCCTGACAGACAAACAAACTACATGATATGTCAAAACTTTAATTCTATGAATTACCGCGATGTATTCTGAAAACTGAATCATGTATCTTTTTTTTAATGTGCCACGTGTGATTTTTCCCGTCATTTTTTTAATGGTTTCAAGTGTGGGCTACTTCTGGTTGTGGTTTTCCTTTTTTGTCTTCGCAAATATTGTCTATAGTAAATAAAGATGTTCTTTTTAACCTAGCCTAATTATCTATTATATTTTGGAACTATTTTGTGTTTTGAATGTTTGATCAACATGTTTCCAGAGATTTTAAAACAACAAATCCATGCAGCATAGCTTACAGGTAGTGCATTAGTTACATTAAAAAATAAATAATTTACTGACTCTCATTTTGTTCCAATGAATATTCGTTTCTTCCATGAAACACTTGAGGAGACATTAGGCAGAAAGTCTGTTTTGCTCTTTTACATACAAGAAAAATGGATGGTTATTTAGGGATGTCCTCCTGATCAAGTTTTTTGTGCCCCATAGGCCTAGTCATTGAATATTGAGTGTCTGCCGATACCGAGTCCCAACCCGATACTTAATTTCCCAGTGTATAGTGGTCACCTGTGAATATGGGACTACTGATATATAGTTATATTTTATCTGTACAATAAGCAGAATAATTGCAACAAAAAAAAAGGAGTAAAGGTTACAAAGCATGAAGCTTGCAGTGTCAGCATGCCAATCTGTCAGTCAAGTGCGAAGCAAGATGTAACTCATATGCGTTATGGCAATAACATCTCAAGCAGAATGATGGCAGATAAAAATAAATATCGATCGGTTATATAACCGATACCGATCAGTTAAAAAAAAAAAAAGAAGCTTAATCGGCCCCGATACCGATTCTTGAGATCGGCTCGAAACATCCCTATTATTCGAACAAAAAAAAAAAAGAAATAAAATAGACATTATATTCGAAGTCTTCTGAAGGCATACGATAGCTTCAGTTGCTTTTGCCAGAGCGCTCAAATCCCCGCAGAACTACTTGGTTTTGGGCGACCTGAGTTTGAGTAAAAGATAGCAAGGTTTTCTTTTGTGTGAGGTTTTCAACTACTCCTTAAGATACTTTTGGCCAATATGTCTTATTTCTCTCATCTTTTTTTGCTTTGTTTAGCCGATGATGACTGCATGAGCTACTTGAGCAGCAGTGGTATGTGGAAGCCGTCCATTGATTGCGGGATTTTCAGCTTCTGCTGTGGGACGTGTAATGACAGATACTGCTGCTCCAATCCACTCAACAAGTTATCCGAGGATGCACAAGAGGACTGCATTTTGTGAGCAGTCTTATTTGTCTCATGAAAAATAATGGCTTTCATAGTTTTATCCTTATATCAGCACACCAGCTTCACATTTACAACTCTTTCTGTGCCATTAGCATCCCCAAACAAGGCTTTGAAAATGACTTCCCAGACACAATCCCCATTTTTGTTTAAACAGATAGGCTAGTCATGCCACAGATTTGTTGTATTTACATTTTTCAGGGAAATCTAACTGCAACCAGTCATATTTGAAACAATAAAGTGTGTTTCTAATGTGATTGTTTTTCCATAATCTCTCCTAAAGCCACGATAGTACGTACGTCGCTGTCGGCGTGACAGTAGCGGGGCTTGTGGTCCTCATCGTTATGTTCATCGTCTGCTGCGTCTGCCCCTGCTGCTGCATCTACAAAATGTGCAGAAAACCCAGACGTAAGTGTCTACTTACGCATATTTTTTAATAATTGTATCCATTCTTGTTCATGTTTCCAATTTGAGATATGTCTTTCTTGCCAACTATTTTGATTGGCATCATATTCCACATTCAAATGTAAAGCCAGTAAATATAAATTTGGCAATTTCTCAAACTGAAACTCATGAAACTCAACACAGACATATTCATTGTGACATTATGTCCATGAAAGTTTATACATCATGGTAGTTGTTGTTGAATTGCCTTTTTATGCTGATTTAAATGAATGTACAGTATGATTTTTTACTGAAATACAGTAAAAAAATCACGATTATAATAAAGTCTGTTGTATTAGTCTAGTATACTATACTAGTTAGACTATAATAATATAGTCTCTAAAATATTGTTTTCATTAAATAATCTGTTATAATATATAAATATAATAATATAGAAAAAACAAAAGTCAAAGTCTAGATGTATGATAATAATGAGAAGGTTTTTATGCTAAATATAGCCTATTAATTTTGGACGTGGACGTGTTTTCGTGAGACTGACCCGTGTGTAAAAATGGCAGAAATGTTTTGAAACTTTTTTCCACAAGTTTAGACTTTCTCTGACCTTGTAGCCTGTGGTACAAATGCTGGAATGTGAGTTTTGAGAGTGGAAAAACTGAATACTGGATCACTCTGGGATTCCCCACCCAGTCTGACTCACTGTGCCTACAGCAACCACAAACAGGAAGAGTGAGCGCCCATGTGCTACAGAAACAGATGAACGATTGTCACAAGACACTCATAGACAGCTGCAGTGTCATCTTCATAACATTTGTTTCAAAAGTATAGATTTTGCTTCCCTCTCTGGGAACTGGATGAATTTAATACCCTTCTTAAAGCGACAGTGCACCTAAAAACCATAGCTCTCCCCAATTGAGTGCACCAGGAGGCTGACATGTGTGGCTTTATTCTGTGCTGCATTCAGATGTCACACACTAAATGTCACACACTAAAATAGCACACCTCACTACAGACGAAAAGCAACGGTATTTAAATAAAATAGATAGGCTACTTTAGGTATAGATCCGTATTTACTGTCAAACGAACTTCTGACTCCACTTAAGTCTAGTAAAAACTTGCCAAAATTGACGTTTGCTGACATTTACATCTACCTCGCCCACAATCCCTCTCCATTCACCGGTCGAAGCTCTCAAGGCATTTAAAAGCACTAAGGCTTACCGCTACTTCACCTCATGATGGGTTAATGATCCCAAAATCTATCATCTGGAGATGAAGAAAATGTTCTTGATAACAGGAAGGGTAGTGGCATAGATGGCTGTCTAGCTTACAGCCATAGGCGTAATTTGCGGGTGGGACATGTCCCCACCACTTTTTGCCAGGGTCGAAACAGATTTGAAAAATTCACATTTCATTAGATTTTTTTTTGACGTTCATACTTGCTAAATCTGATCGGATTTCAATCGGATATGCACAAAAATCGGATTTAGTCCGACAGTCTGAACTAGGCTTTAGTGCTTACAGACAGAATAGTCAACGGAACTAAGAACAGGTGTGTAACTCATGAGTAACTATGGAAACAAACTCAGACAAACTGGTTTTTGTTATTAAAGTTTATTTTTCTACATTTTTATTTAAGTTTTAGTTATTTTAGTACAATGAAAATGTTGCATTGGCAACTAGCTGGAAAAAAAGTGTTATGAAATTTAATTTGATTTCAGTTAATGTTTAACTGGTTGTAACTGGTTTAATGTTTATTGTTTTAGTTAACCGGCTTGAAGTATGTTGTCGGGAGTATGTCAGGTTGTGGAATAGCATTTCTTCATTGGTTGGATTGGTTTTATTTTCTGTCAGCATATTATTCAGGGTCGTTGTAAAGTTATTTGTTCATAATTGAGATATAATTGACAATTTTTCACAGATGGCTGATGTGGTCGATGCTGATATCTGTAGAGCAGGGTTGCCAATATAATTATGATATTTAGGTAATGCAATGAAATGATATCGAATGATTTGCATGCCAAATTGTAGAAACTGAAAAACATATTTACACAATATTTAAAATTAAAACAAATGGTTGGTTGATTAATCGTCCTAGTCAATGTATACATATATATTTATTGCTGATTTTTAAAGGTTTTAAACAGCCTTCTACTGATTAAGACACAACAGGAAGTTCCTATCTAGTGCATCTTAAAGTTAGCCATTTAACCGCGCCAGAAGTGAATTGCAGCTGTGATTGCGTTTGCAGACGTTATCAGGCTGTCCTTATTCATTTAGTTTAAAAATAAAATAGTGTTTCAAAGTTGGCTTTGAGACCCACATTTATAATTAGGACAGAAAGGTTCCAGAGAAGTAGTGACAGACCTATACATACACATATATACCGTATATATATATATATATATATATATATATATATATATATATATATATATATATATATGTGTGTGTGTGTATATATATGGTGAGTCCTCCATCAACTATCTATTATTCATGTTGTTTTTCCTTCAACAGCTGTTATGGGAGCAACAACAACTACAGTGGTATCCACACAATACCCTCAGCAGCCTGTTGTCCACGGAAGTCAGTACCCTCCGTACCAGCCCGTAAAACCACCTCAGTTTGGGTACAGCGGGGCACCAGGATATGGAGGGCAGCCTATGCCCACTGCACCATATCAGGGACCGCCATACGTAGCGGGACCCCCTCCCCCATATCAGGAGGCTGGTAAGATAATGAGCTTGAACAGCAAAAAGGCCAAAATGGGCGATAAGTATGAATATTCATGATGATTTTGCTGGTAAATGTCGAGAATGACGAAATTTGAATGTGCTTTTTTTTTATGTGTGATTACGTAGTTTTACAAAGATTCAACCCAAAGTGCACACATATAACCGGCAAAAAAAAAAAAAGCACAATGAGGTGCTCAACCACAAACATAAAAAAAAAAAAGGAAGTAAAAGTTAATTCATGTTCTTACCAGGTGAAGTTTCAGCCCACTGGCTTTTCCTCATGCGTAGTTAGTTTTGCAATCCTCTCTTGTCTCATGACTGCTATGAGTCATTATGAGTATGAAAGGCAAGGCAATGTTGTCTTTTTAGATATACTGCTGTTTAAAAGTTTGGGGAATGTAATTTTTTTTAGATGATTTTGAAAGAAGACTCTTATGCTCACCAAGGCTGCATTAATTTAATCAGAAAATGCAGTAAAACAAAAATATTGTGAAATATTTTGACAATTTAAATGAACTATTTTCCATTTTAATATCTTGTAAAATGTAATTTATCCCTGCAATGGCAAAGCTGTATTTTCAGCATCATTACTCCAGTCTTCAGTGTCACATGATCCTTCAGAAATCATTCTAACATGCTGATTTGATGATCAAGAAACATTTCTTATCAATGTTGAAAATGCTGTTTATTATTTTTGTGGATTCTAAGATGAATAGAAAGTTCAAAAGGACAGCATTTATTTGTCACCTTTGATCAATTTAATACACGCTTGCTGAATAAAAGTAATAATTATTTATATCTTACAGACTCCAAACTTTTGAACAGTATGTATTTACTCAGCCCTAATAAGTTAGGGTTAAATTAGCTAGCTACAATTGCATCAAAAAAAGGGCCAACAGAGTGTTGGATAGGGGTCTCAGTGACTCAAAGAGGAGCTGTAATTCTGTGTGTGTTTGCAGGAGGCCCAGGATATCCTGCTCCCTACAGCCAGGCTGCGTATGACGGTGGACAGGCCGCGTACCCCATACAACCACCAGCTCAGCCTGGTTTCGTTCAGCCGCCTCAACCGACAACCTACAGCTCGACTCAACCAGCTTACAACCCCGCCTACGTGGAGCCACCAAAGACCGCTTACTAAACCACAAGCTGGATTGTTGATGCTTATGCAGTTCCATGACCTGGTCTCCTACAATTGTGCATTGTACAGCTACTGTGGACAGCATATTCCAATCGGGTCGAGAATAAAATGATCGGTGTTTATCATGATTGCTTTAAGGTCTTCTTGCGTGCCAGCATTATTTTCCTTACACTTGCCTGTTTCACTTCATTTTATATAAATATATATTTTATCTTCTATGACTCCAAGCCATATTACTTTTTCACTTTGTTTGTTTGTGCATAAGGGAATATCTTTGTTTTTCATCTTGAAATGCTGTTACACGCTTTTAAGATCGTTAGATTCATTTTATCCTTGGAATTTGCACAAAATACTGACGCTTTATCAGTTGGTGAATTGGAATCACGGTAGAATGCTGTTTAGATGTTTTCACAATTTTTGTACCATTCAGGTTTAAGCATCTGTGAATGTTTGTAACAGTGTTCTCATGCACAGAGATCCAGAATATGCCTTATTTATGCAGCTTATGCAGCAAATTACACGTGGACACTTTAACTACTACATTCTCACTGTGTGTTTGAAGAATTTTATGGAACTTGGGTTCTGTATGTTCTGTAGTCAACACATTTGATACATTTCCCTTTCCTCTTTCCTTGAGCCAAATGACTTTGCCATCAATTTAAATAATGTGAAATTCATTTTTTTAAACAATAAAAGTCACTCAAGGTCAGAAAGACGGTAAAAATGTAAGATGTTGTTTGACTGGTGTGTCTAATTATCTGGAAATTCTTGCAACAGGCTCTTCCGTGTTATGAAGTTAGCTCATATTTGATTATCCCTCTGTGTACAATCTTCCACTGATTCCTGTTGGGTGTGTCGGGTCATATTTTGGGGATGTTTGTTCATGGTTTATTAACTGTATTAATGTTCAACTAATTTGTGTTTTATGTTTAAATGTTTATACCTAAGCATCTCCATGTTTGCAACTGCAAATAAAAATAAATTGAGCTGGAATCACTATTTTAGTGTCACATTCTCTGCCTACAAACATTATTTCTCTCATTTTAGTCAGATTTTCCATTTTTTTCAAAACCTACACAGGGCAAGTTAAATGGTGTACAGGAAGTGAGCTCACTCATGTGTTGATGCCAAATACTTTCTACATTTAAACAACATGCTAAAAATACACACTGATCGATGGGAAAGTACATATAACATCTGGAAATACATTGTCACATTGTCCGTTAGCGTACGTTTTATCTTATTATGCAGGTCTCTGAATCAGCTGTGACTGAGATATTTCCTCATATTCGCCGTCGTCAGGTAACTAAAGCCCCCGCTACTTTCCGGGCGCAAGTCCGCGAACTCGTGTCCTCGTTTTACAAACTCCCGCCATTTTGCGCATTACTTGTCGATAGTGTAACTTACTTACCTCAAAGGACTTTGCTGTAAAATTGTTGTGTTCGTTTTGTTGCTATCCCAATTCTTTTTGTATATTATAATAATGTACTACTTTTTTTCCTGCCGTAAATTTGTGGATTATATTCAACCGAGATTACCGGTATTATTTTAAAGGGATAGTTTACCCAAAAATTTGTCATTATTACTTACTCTCATGTTGTTTTAAAAACCTGTATGATTTTTTTTCTTCTGTTAAACACAAAATAATATATTTTAAAGAAAGTTGGTGACCAGACAGTTGACCGACCCATTGTATAAAAAAAAAATCCTACTATGGAAGTCGGTTTGGAACAACTTGAGGGTGAGTAAGTAATGACAAAATATTTGGGTGAACGATCCCTTAAACTCAAATTAAAATTACAAATCAGCCAAACTATTTTTTTGAGTGAGTAGCCGCGTAATAAGCAAGATAATGTAAGATGGTCATGAAAGCAAAATAATCATAGACTTGTATAATGGGGGTGTAATCTGTAAAACAGGTTGCATCACTTCTAGTTCTGTTTTTTTTTCTTTTCGTATGTACTTTGTTAAATATAGAGCTGGCAATAAAAAATAACTAGCCACCAAAGTCCATATATTGCCGTCAGTTCATGCCGTTAACAATTTCTCTGAAAACATGATGTGATGAGATCCGTTTTCCTGTTTGTTCATGTGACATACGACATAAAGCCTATCCCTTAAATATTACTCTATTTATAGCATTTGTCACTTGTTGTTAATTATCACAAAAAAATTTTTTTTGACTCATCCCTCGGTTTATAAAAACTGTAATTCATAAAGAATTAAAATACCTCAGTGACAGAATTAATTCTTTAATTCAAGTCATTAGTGCTCAGTCTTAAAAAGAGTGACAAAATCTGAGGACAAGAGACAAACAATGTTTCTGAGGGGACACACTGAACATTTTTCATTACAAAACTTGACTTTATATTAGATCATTATGACCCCGTCTCCATATCCATGTCTTCAACGTACTCCGTTTCAGATCTGCAGATCTCCTCCAGAGCCAGTTCTGGAGTGAAACAACAATATAATACCATTTAATGCATCACAGTGGACTAATTTTAAAACAAATATCTTTAAGGACAGTAAATGTTATACATCAGATGCTACTCAGAAGTCAGTTAGCCAATCAAAATGATGTTGGCATTAATTACTATAACTTACTGAATAAAGAGATGTGAACCCACCTTCGCTCTCGGACAGATCTGGGACCAGACGGAACGTGTCTCTGATGGCGGGAATGACCTGATCGTACATGTGCAGGACGTCCAGACAGTGTTCGGAAAAGGACGAGTCCTTCAACAGCAGCCAGTGCAGTAACATCAGAGCTTCTCGCAGTACCTGTAATCCAGGACTCGTCCAGGTCCGATTCCTCAGCGTTTGACTTCCTCTGCCTTTTGTTTTCAGCCACTGCCTGTGTAAAAGCACAACGATCGTCCGCACCACCTGAAGACGAAAAAAATACAGTATGGTCAGTACCAGACCATTTTGTTGCATTTTGCTCTACAGTTATGAAAGACTCAAGAACAATGATCATTTCCATTGTGCTTCTGTAGTCATTTTGTCAATTATATTCTTGTATAATGGTTTTGCTTCAAAACTAACAGACATGGAGGGTGAAAAGTTGTAGTGTTTGTCTGAATCAAACCTCATTAATACACTGGCAGGATGATTCACAAAAAGCTGTCCATGTTTCTGCCTTCTGTGTGAACAGTTTGGTTAAAAACCGGATGACCTATTGACAGAGGAATCGTATTTTTAAAATGACAGTTTAATACAATGCATTTCAAAACAAAGTACTGCAAGATAAATCACCTCAAGTTCAAAACGACTCCACATATCTTCTGAGGTGGATTTCTGCGGTCTAGAGGTGACGTACTGGAATATTTTGAGAAAAGGACATGGATCTGACGGAAGACAGGGTTTGCGTTAACCCAAGCCAACAAAAATACACTTTATGAAATGCTAAAAAGACACTTACATTCATGTGAGCAGAGTTTTGTGGCCATCTCTTCATTATAGATGATAAACGACAGAAATCTCACAGACAGATGGACTATTCTGTAGGACGTCTCCAGAGTCATGCATTTGGACAACACTTGACTCGACACGACAACCTGGAGTCTACATTTGAGAAATCAGACTACAGTTTAATTGGTGAATAAAAGTAAATAAGGATGATTATAATAATATGCTTATTTACATTACAAGCTGTGTAATTTTACTCTCTGGTCATATAAATATCAGAAACTTCACCAAACTGCTTTTTTTTTTTGCTCAGTCTGGATAAAGTTGAGGTGATTTTTTTCTCAAAAAACAAACAACAAAAAAGTCGGTCTAAAGTTTTGATCAAAAAAGCAGATTGTTCTATGATTTCAGTAACACTTTAGTTTAGGGTCCAGTTCTCACAACTAACTAGTTGCTTATTATTATATAGACGGTTTCATCGAACGCAAGCGCGTTGCCCGGGTTACGCGCTGGCCCGAAGTTAACTTCCGGTCTGTGTTTGTTAACCGGTAATATCATAATATCATTCTCTGGTAATATGGCGCCGACTACAAACGCAGTGAAAATTAAGGTGATGAGCAGACTGAAGTTGGCCTCAGGTTGTTGTGTTGTGGGATGCAACCTGAGGCTCTGGGACAAATACCTTATCAAAAATAAAAAATTTCGGTTTCCTAAAAACGAAGGGAGACGGCGAGCGTGGATCACCGCTGTGCGATGAGAGGCTTGGCAGCCAGGCAAGAATTCAAGGATCTGTAGCACTCACTTCGTTACAGGTAACAAACTCATGATAAGCAACAGATAATTATGGAAGCTTGTTTCCGGCCTTGAAGAATAAAAAAATAATAATAATTGAGACTTTTTATCTCATTATTGCGAGATAAGAAGTCAGAATTGTGAGAAATAAAGTTGCAATTCTGAGAAATAAAGTCGCAATTGCGAGAAAAAAAGACAGAATTGAGACTTTTTATCTCACAATTCTGACTTTTTTCTCACAAAAAGTCTATGGTTTCTACAGATGAACTCTGTTGTTATTGACTCTACCGGAAGTTAAGTTTGGGCCACAAAAGCGCGCATGCGCAGTAACGTTTGTTTATGTTGTTGCCGTTGAAACCGTCTATATTTATATATTAGTAGGATATTGGCTGTTTATTAGTTTATAAAGCACATATTAATGCCTTAGAGCATTCACACAGAATGTGTTTTCCCATCATGAACACGTGCTTAACGGACGTCTCAAACCGTTGCGCTCTCGACTTGCGTCTTTGCAGCGTCTCGCGTGCGATCCTGCATTCATCGGGGCGTCGACGCTTGACGGAGGGCGTGTCTGAAGCTTGGTGCCGTCACATCGACAACAGCCAATCACATTACTTTTCCAGTGTCGCATGAACTCAATTGGCTAGCGTCTGTGCTAGAGTATTTGCATAGGCGATCTGATTGGCTGATGCCTGCGTTGGCGCTTGAAAAGTTGAAAACTTTTCAACTTCTGCCGAGAGCAACACCAGTGACGTGACGCAAGGGAACCCACAATTCAGTTCGGCAAAGCATGACATCACCAAATCAAAGTAAATAAAAAGCGCCAAGGCCGATGCCCCGTGTGAATGGACCGTGACACAGCATTCTAAAAACGCGGCGCTCAAGTTAAAATAAGTTCAACTTATAAAAAAACGCTTTTCTAGACCTTGCACTTTTTTCCGCTCCACGGCTATAGCGTAGTTTTCCAATTGTTTTCAATGGGAGCTCTGCTTTTTCAAACGCCAGCAGCGTGACGAGGAGCTGAACGTGTATTTCACGCTGAGCACAAAGCATTTTTTTACCGGTTGCCGAGAGTTGAAGAATGTTCAACTTTAGATAAAACGCAGCGCTCATCGTTTTAAAAAAGATGTCTTTTAAAAAAAAAAGTCCTGGATGGAATGTATATTGAAGTGTTCTGTATAGGGTGGCACTGTCACTTTTTACCCAGCCGTCCAATCACAGTAGAGGACGGGCGGGACAAATACCACACCAACCAACCGGCACATCCTGCTTGAACAACGATAATTTTTATATAGAAACAATATAGAAACAAACTATCTGTGAAATGAAATACTACGGTAGTTCACCGCTTGGCACTCTGTGTGAAATAGGAGCTCAGCTCCACTCCCATTGAAAACAATTGGAAAAATATGCTAGCCTTGGGAAAAAAAACGTTTGCTGGAAACACGGCCTAACAGCAAAAATGTGTTCTGTGTGAACCAGCCCTTTTTCTGTATGACCATATTCTACATCCCTTAATCCTACACAATACCTAAACTTAACCAACTATTAATAAGCAGTAATTAGGAGTTTATTGGAGGCAAAAGTCATAGTTAGTAGTGAGAATCGGACTAAAGTGTCCAATTCTCTAAAGTGTGACTTAAGTGTGAACATGATTTCATGTCAGGCTTTACAGGGTTAAGATGTTGCCACAGTATTTCTTTCCACTTTCAGTCATCTAAATGTAAATTAAGAGGCAGAATCAGACTATGAAATGGGAAAAGAACATGACACTCATGTAGACACATATACTATACCTGAAGAGCTGGTTCTCCTGCGCTCTCTCGGCCAGCCTGCTAAGAGTCTTCAAACTAGTGTTTACTAGCGCCTCCCTCTGGCCAGCGGCGGTAATGAACGCTGGATCAGCCAACTGTAGGAGTCTCCTGAGAAGAGGCAGCTGGGTTTGCACCTCCCCGGTGAGATGCTCAGAGGCGCTGAGGAGATTCTTCGAACACTGCGGCCGGTTAAGGGAAATCTCTCCGTCCTGATGGCACAGAACCATCTCCAAAGCCTCACAGCTGTAGCACACTATGTGATAGAGGGCTTGCATGGCTGCCAGGGCAAACTCCTCCTGACCGCTGAGAGATTCCTCCAGACTCAAGGCCAGGCTGGAGTCGGAAGATCCCGACAGGGAGCTGCCATGGAGCGAGGCTTTCGCAGAGCTCTCGACGGACTCCAGCGACTGACAGTACGTGCTGATGTGGAAGGTGAGCAGGGGGAGGAAGTGCACCGCGGCCGGGCAGGTTTGGAGAGCAGCATCTGGGTTACGTGGGACACTCGTGGAGGGCTGGAGAGTTAATGCGGTGAGAGCAGACATAGCGAGACTCTGCAGCTGGTGGAATCGAGCTTGAGGACAATGAATCGATCGGAATTCTGTGGAGGACGAGCTGGAAGTCGTCAATGATCCCCTAATGTAAAGGGGGGAAACAATTCACAACAGTCCAAACTTTTTACACGGATAATTAAAGTTGCAATAGTAAACATTTAACAAACAGTTGCAAATACTTAAGACATATTGGTAATAGTTAATTTATCATACATGTATACTATTTCCACAAATAACTATCAAATTTCCACAAGTTTCAGGCCTAAAAAAAAAGGTTTTCCAATATTTTCTACTTTCAATTTTTTTTTTTAAATTTGTATTACTATTATGAATACATTATTCTATAATATTTTATTTAACAATAAATATTAAAATACAACAAATAATATTTTAACAATTATGTTTTAAAATAAATAAAAGCAAATGTCATGGTGTAAATATGAATACTACTAGTAACAACAATAATAATTGTTAGAATTAATACAATATTCTATAATGTTTAATTTAATAATGAACAATAAAATACAACATTATTATAATGTTTTTAACATTAAAATTTTTAAAAAAATTAACATTAATGTTTTAACAACAAATGTCATGGTGCAAAAATGAATCCTACTACTGCTACTACTAGCAATAATAATTATACTTTTTATTTAATTTAATAATAAATAATGAAAAATAAAAAAATTGTCATGATGTAAAAATTATTATTATGATTAATAAGAAGATACACAGTGTTCTTTATTCTATATATTATTATGAATACATTAATCTATAATACTTAATTTAATGATACATAATAATATACAACAAATAATACCGTTTTAATAATGTTTCAGAATAAAAAAGCATGTCATGATGTAAAAACGTATATATATATATATATATATATATATATATATTTATTTTTTATTAATACAATATTGTATAATATTTTGTTTAATACCGTAAATAATAAAATACAACCAATAATATTTTATAAGTACTGATAAAAAAAACCCCAGCAAATGTCATAATGTACTTTTATCTCTCTGGAATGAACGTAAAGTGAAGTATTCTGTATAGTGTGCTTTATGAACCGAAAATATCTCTGATCATGTGACTTAAAATATATTAGATCAACGTTTCCAATGTTGACATTGTTCAAATGTTCCAATGGAATATACCAACATCTACAAATGTTGCAATGGAAATTTCCATTCTTTATGATTAATGTTGTGAAAGTGGGCCAATGATTTCCCAAAACAAACAGTTGTATGTAGTAAAAGCCAATGTTTACAGTACATTTCTCAGGTTTCAGGACATTTCAGCCAGTGTTAAGTGTTGTATGGGATGTCTTGTTGATACTCACGAGCTGACGTAGCCGTTCTGTGACAGGACGTTTGGTAGAGCGGCAGGACTGATGGACAGCAGGTGACACAGACCCAAAGTGCTCGGATCCAACGGTTGTTGCAGCAGTAGGTTCAACAACACACAGCCTACAGCATCACAAACACAAGCTCACAGCAAACACACTGAGAGAACAGACTGAAGATAACGCTAGAGATTTGATCAGCCGTTACCTTCCTGTCGATGGTCAGATCTGAGGGTTTGGTCTGACTGTGGCTCTTCTGTGAGGAAACGTTTGGGCTGCGCTGGTTTCCCATCTGATAAGAGTTTGAAAATGTGATGTTGAGGATTGAACGATAATGGAAAGACCTCTCAGGAAAGGAAATGTGCCTAAAATGTGTAATAATCCATACCCTCTAATAGATGGTCTTTTTTGATAGGAGATGTTTTCTTGGAGAGCTCGGCGGCAAAGTTTTCCTTAGTCATGAACGCTCCCCTTGCAGGAGAGTGAATACTGTGTTAACACCACAAAACACAAAACACAAATCAACTATTTGTCTAGAGCGGTTCTGAGGTAACATTCTAACCTTTTGATACAAATCAAATGTTATAATTTATTATTTGTATTAATTATAATAATAACAATGATCACTAATATAAATATTAAATAAATAAATATATTATTTGAACAGCAATACTTATAACAATACTACTACTATTAATAATTATTATTATAAAAAAGTAATAGTGATATTTTTATTATTTTATTTCATTGTATTCTTTAAATTACGGAGCCCCTAAAGGGACCTTTGCAAAAATAAAAAAATAACACTATTGCGTGCGCACGCATAACAATTTCCGGTTTGCGTACAATTTGCATCACTGTCATTACTATGAGGAAAACAAGAGCATGGATGTCAAAGTTTAAACTTCTCCTCTAGATTAAAAAAGACCAAAGTGTTATTAAACTGTTGGTTACAACGTGACCAATAAATCCTTATTTTTTAAGGAATTGGTTTAACAGGGATATTAATCATCTTATGAATAGGTTTGATAATTATGGAAATATTTTAACATACGAACAATGTATGCAAATCCATAGTTTTCCTGTGCATTTTAAACAATTTAATTAAAGCCATTTCCCCTACTCTGATTCATCTTATCAAAAGTCATATTCAATTTAACTCCACATTAATGATAAATCCAAAATAAATGGCATTGAATTGATTGATAAAAAATGCTATAATAAACATATTTGTACAATATTTCAAATAAAAAATAAAATAGCACCTAGAGGATTTTGTTAATCCCCTTTAAATATTGCATTAATAATAAAACCAAAGAAATTGCAAGATACTCCGATATTGACGATTTATGTTCCTTTTGTAAAAGTGGGAAAGAGGTGTTGACTCATTTGTTTTTTGAATGCAAAATTATCCAAAATTTCTGGAAGGAATTGGCAGAATTTATCTTTAATTTAGTAACAATTAAATACTATTTTACTTTAAATTATATTATTGTATATTAAGAAAACAATGTTAACAAAGGTCTTGAATACATTGTTAATTTATATTGTTGGCAAAATTTTATATCCATAAGCAAAAATATTTAAATTCATCCCCAACTTAAAAGTTGAAACTAATATATAACAGACTCATTACATGCAAAGTGAGATATTTCAAGCCTTTATTTGTTATCATTTTTATGATTATGGCTTACAGCTTATGAAAATCCCAAATTCAAATTTAGAATATTGTGAAAAGGTTTTCATAGCCGTAAGCCGTAATCATCAAAATTCTAACATGTATAGTATGCACAATTTTAAAATGTATTTCTTTGGTTTTATTATTAATGCAATATTTAAAGGGGATTAACCAAGCAGTCTTCCAATTAATATTATCAATAATAGAGTTCCAAAAAAAATCCTCTAGGTGCTATTTTATTTTGTATTTGAAATATTGTACAAATATGTTTATTATTGAATTTTTTATCAATCAATTCAATGCCATTTAAAATTAATTTTGGATTTATCATTAATGTGGAGTTAAATTGAATATGACTTTGGATAAGATGAATCAGAGTAGGGGAAATAGCTTTAATGACAGAATTAAATTCTTTAAAATGCACAGGAAAACTATGGATTCGTATAAATTGTTCATATATTAAAATATTTCCATAATTATTAAACATATTCATAAGATGATTAATATCCCTGTTAAACCAATTCCTTAAAAATAAGGATTTATTGGTCAACCAACAGTTTAATAACACTTTGGTCTTTTTTAATCTAGAGGAGAAGTTTAAACTTTGAATTCCATGCTCTTGTTTTCCTCATAGTAATGACAGTGACGCAAATTGTATGCAAACCGGAAATTGTAATGCGTGCGCACGAGAAAGATATCGCGTGCGCACGAGAAACGATCGCGTGCGCACGCAATATGTTTCCCGTGCGCACGCGATAGTCTTTATTTTTAATTTTTTTGCAAAGGTCCCTTTAGGGGCTCCGTATTTTATACTACAACTAATAATACATATTAAAAATAACTGCAATTTTTATTCTATTACTGATTTGGTGTTATCAGCTACTAACGCAATATGAAGAAACTTATGAGCATCATATGATGTCATCTATACTCTGTTGTAATCAGAATTTTGCGGAGACGGTTGCGGCGGAGAGAGCAAACATTATTAAAAACAACAAGTGAACAGTTAAAATAAGAACAAATACACAAATTACAAGCAGAGATGAATACTAAATAAAGTTACAAAGTCTAACAGTAGTATTCAGGTACAGAAATGAACAATTAAGTCCAAATGTAAAATAACACTATTTGTTCAATGTGGAAATTAAATATAGTTTCATCTTTGTTAAAGCTGTATTTTGTTGTTTTATTAACATAGACAACAGTAGGAATATTAGGTGTGTGCTGTCACTTTAAGACCAAATGCACGGACTGAAAAAAAAAAAATACAAACATCTGTTTTCTTTCTCAACCATGACATAACCGAGAGAATACTTGCCGAGATGGGTATTTAGACGAGGTTTTTTTAACATAATTTTGTGTGCATGTGTCCGTTCAAGGGCAAGGAAACGCAAAAGAGGAATCAATTCAGTGTTCGAGCGCTGTCTGAAACGCTCCTCTCTCTATCTCTATCTCTATCTCTTTCTCGCTCTCTCTCTCTCTCTCTCTCTCTCTCTCTCTCTCTCTATCTCTTTCTCTCTCTCTCTGCGTGTGTGGCTCTGGTCACGATTTTCACCTCTTCTTCTGCGTTTAAAACAGTTTGAACGTGTAAATTGGCAAAACACGTCCAAATTATAAACTTTCACTCTATAATGGTTAAATTTAGTAGTTAATCTGAGAATCACATGTGTGCCGAACCGTGGGGCTCAACAGATCAACTGCGATCCATTGCACCCATAAAGTATAGGCATTTTTCATCACCCCAAATTACATAGTAACAATCTGACCCTGTCAAAAAAGCATTTTGCAATTGGGTCGGGTCATGTTAAACAAACCGTACCAGAGTTCGTTTGGAACCGGACCGAGACCTCCTCTTCAGCTGGGTCTCGGTACGGTTGTTTGGACCGCACCCGAGTGCGATTGCTGTATTTACACCTAACAAAGGTTAATAAATGCTGTACAAATATATTGTTCATTGGTAGTAGTTTATGTTCATTTACGCATTAACTAATGTTAACAAATGGGACTATTATAAAGCGTTACCGATTTAATTTATTAACAGAAAATCCAGTATAACATATGATACACTGGAGTGGAGTGCATGCAAAGAGACAAGCTCATGTGAACAAAGAAAAGGAAAAAAGAAAGAAATGCTGTAAATGCTGACCAAAAGCTGTAACAGTGTAGACAACAGAACAATTGTTTGTCATTACCAATTCCTCTGGAAGACACACACAAATCAAAGTTGTATTTACATGTTTCGCGCAGGTGTGCCGGGCTGCTTTCCTCCACGCTCAACGCTCCGAAGTTTCCCTCTCATTTCATTCATCTCGGCTTCTTTAAAGTGCAACTCCGACTGCAGCGACTGCACCTGCAGTAAATCCAGCATTTCCATGAGTTCATACGAAACGTTTCATCGGACGCCAGTCAAGCTTGTGTGCCGTACCTTCCTGGACAGCTCCTTCTCCCGTTCGCTCTGAGCCTGAGCTTTCTCTTTCTCCAGGGCGAGTTGGGTCTGCCGCTGCTGTTCCTTCTCCTGATTGGCCAGTTTCAGGGAGTCCCGCAAGACTCGGATCTCTCCGTTCTTCATCAGGATCTCCTCCTCGACCTCCTTCAGCTGAGTGTGAACAGAAATGCAGACACATGAGTTTCTGGTTTCTAAATCCTAAATCAGGAGAAACTAAATGATGGCTGTTTTGGTGTAAGAAGCCTTGTCTAAAAAGGTGAATTCAGGAAAAAAGGGGTCTTTTTGAGAGCAAATAAAGTGTTTTTTTATGAACTACAACAAACCGACCAAATGAAGAACACACCTTTTTCTTCAGGTCTGCTTGCTGTTCCTCTAATTGCTTGTAGTACAGATCTTCTCCATCTTTACTGGAATGACCATCTGCTGTGTGACACACACACTGGTTACATTTCTAGATTATCCCATCCAAAGTTCATATAATGCAAAAAATTACATGAAACATTTAATTATATATTTATTATAAAATGCTGTGCAAAGAACTGTGGGAATAAGAGTTTATATTCACAATATTAAATATTTAAAATATTATATTTAAAATATTTCAAAATAATATAACAATACATTTAATTTTATAATAATTCATATACTAATATTTATTAAATTTAATTAAAAAATATTTGTATTATGTTATATTTGTAAATAAATATTCAGTAATAATAATTACATTTAATCATACTTGTTTAATTTAATAAATTTTTGCTTTGTAAAAAATCCAATATAACATAATTAGATTTTTTTTGTTATTAAATGTATTGAGTATTATTAACATTATTATTGAAATATTTTTAAAGTCTAATACCCACAGTCTTTTGCTTAGTTTTTGGTTATTCAATTAAATTAGCATTATAATATAGTCACCTTATTAAATGTACTATTATTTATTATTTTGAAATATTTTATAAGTCTCACAGTATTTTGCCTAGTTAATTTTTGCATTATGTGAAAATCCAATTATATATTAATATAATAATATTTAGATTCTTTATTATTTAGACTTAAAATACATCAATAATAATAGTGTTGTATTGCATTTTTATACAATGCAAAAAATGTCAAATTAAAATAATTATTTCAAATATTCAATAATACTTAATAAATTTGATTTCAAATCATTTAATTTAATTATTTTTTTTATAATAAAAACTCTAAATATCATTATATATTATAGTATTAGATTGTTGTATTAATTAACTCGTATTAATTAATTAATAATAAACTATCATTAGCTGCTGTTGTTATTAGTATAAATCTGCTCTGTGAAACACAAAATAACATATCCAGAGTCCATAATATAATGCAAAAATGAGCTATGCAAAGAACTGTGGGGAATAAGACAAAATGCTCAGTCCAAAAGCAGACAGAGGGAGAGTTTGGGAAACAAAAGACTTGTGGAACGTGTGTCCAAATAAAACATCTTATACTAACCAAACACATCCTTTCTTGGAGGTTCTTTATTGTTATATGTGCTATTGCTGCAGCCGTCTCCGATGGCAAATGTTTTTCGGCCTGATCTCACAGGTGCTTTGCTTTGCTCATCAGCGCAAGCGAACACAGGACCAAGCGTTCTCTTTGACCCACTGTTCTGGACGTCTCCTGTGACGGCCTGGGATGCAATGATGTCAATCTGGTCCAGGTCATCCTGGGTGAAATCGATGTCATCATCAAACGGGTCGGGTCCGGCTGACACCTGATGACCTTTCAGTCTCTTGCTTGGCGGGAAGTCCATGACAATGAGGTGCTTTTGGGAAATCAAAAAATCATAATTATTATTCATTGATGATCAGTGATGAAAACAGTCAAAATAAAAAAAATTTTTAGGCGTCTAAACTTTTGACAGGACTGTATACATAGACGTATACATATATATATATATATATATATATATATATATATATATAGATATATACATATATATAAAACACACACTATTCAATTTGTGCGGCAAAGTAGCCTTTTCCGATATAACAGTTTGTGCACGTTGTAAATTGTCATTAATGTCAGTAGTGCAAACTTAAAAACAGTTTAATGTAATATATAATCGTAAATACTAGATGTTCAGAGTAAATAATCCAGTTATTTTCCATCCAAAGGCGGAAAATAATACCTAACCTACATACAATAGTCTTATAGAGTCACATACTGGGTTTATTATGGTAAAACTGTGGTAAAGTGCTCAGGTTTATCAGTTACCTGCTTCAGTGTCCCTCTCAGACTCCTGCATTAACCTGCTACGACTCGTCAAACATACACCATGCTGGACAAAACACTAATAACGAGCAACTCTGAGCTGTTAACATAAACCTAAATGACTAAATAAACAAAATAACAGAAAACTTGTGAAGCTGACAGCATTTCTGAGCTCTGCCTCTCATTCGGTGTTGAACAGGATCATGCGTCCAGAGAAAGCGCATGCGGTAGTAAAACCTCACCTGATTGGCTAAAGCGTGGCCCAAGTGTCTTACGGTGCGCTATGATTGGTCCATTGACCAACGAGCGTACTACGGAGACTCATGAGACAAGTCAGAACCGCGTTATGAACGATTTGATTTTTTTTTTTTCACATTTAGAAAACACGTTATAAAATCAGTTGTATTTTTAAAACAAATTCTATTTATAAAAAAAAGTAAATTAAAAGTTATTTTAACGTGTGTGATGGTGCGGTGGGAAACGTTTGTTTCCTTTTTTAATGTTCGTAGCATAGACTGTAAAAAATAGGTTCGTAGACATGAAACGTAAATCAAGTTCTCATAAAAGTTGTTTCAGCATGTAGCCTGTTTTTACTTAGCCTAGCCTACTGTATATAAATGTAATAGCTGTACTAAATATACTTAACATCGAAGGCTATTACAAATGCTATGGGTACACAATAAAACACTGTTACTATTAAAAGTTAAAACATTAACATGGACACAAATCTTTTTGTTGCTTTAAAGTTGTGGACTGCAACAAAATTGAACCTTCAACCTACTAAAAACTACCAAGCAGCATTTTATCTGTGTGAAAAGTGAAGACACTGTTTTTTTATCATAAAACTTTCACAATACATGCATTCAAGTTGTGTACGTGAAATAGTTTAATACGAAACAAATTACTGAGAGACACAGAGGGAAAAAATAATTAAATAACGCATATAATAAATTACATGCACCATACAATATAAATAAGAATATAAAAGTACTTATACTAACAACTACAATTTGCTAGTTTGATACGTGTAGTGATGTGATGGATACAACGTCTTTTTATGGAAATAGCTCTTTTGTGACATCACCTCGAACTCGCTCTCTGATTGGCGGAGGCGCGTGGCTGCAGAGTGTTTACCATCTGAGCTCAAAGAACTGGAGCTGCACGTACTCAAACCACCACCGAAGGAGGAAGTTCGCGGTCAAAAACAGAAAATTATTTGCCCGTTTTTACAACTTCGTTAATAAAAACGCTCACAACAGCTCTGGAAACTATCTGTACCCCTATACCGATTCACTGGAGCAGGTCAGTAGCTTTTAAGGCGCGATTTTTCGTGTTGTTTTGAACAAAGGAATATGCCAAAGACATTGGCCAGGCCTGTTGAGTTCAGATGTACTCGAGCTGATTGATCTTAAAAAAACTCGTTCGTGCTCACATTTGATGGTGTATCACAGTTTTACCTCGTTTTCCCTTTCAGCTCATGCAAAAACTTCATGATGAAAACCGAGGTATCTACTGCTGCTAACTTTGTCACACGTCTGTTGAGGGGAACGGGACTGCTTTCAGAAGAACAGCTGCAACAATTCAGATTCTCTTTGGAAGAATCTTTAGGGGGTAAGATAGGATTGGACATGATCTTTCCATTGTTTAAAGAAAATTCAAGTAAACCATAGTTCAAATTATATACATTGTAATAAAAATGAACATTGTTTATTGTTACAAACAAAACCAGCCGAAGATCAGATTCAGTTTATTGCAGCAACAAAGTCCATTCATTGAAACTTGCACCATTTTAACCCCCAATCTGCCTTAACAAAGCACCAAGCCTAAAAACTTTGGCAAGTAATGCTAATCAAAGGCCGTGTTTGATTGGGCCAAGGTCTAACTTTGTTCTTTCATTGTAGATCATTATCAGCACCATTGGTTCCCAAACGCACCTTGCCGAGGTTCGGGTTACAGGTGCATCCGGATCAACCATAAGATGGACCCTTTGATAGGCAAAGCGGCCTGTACGATCGGACTCACAAAAGAGCGACTCTTTTCACTGCTTCCAAGTGAACTCACCATGTGGGTTGACCCGTATGAAGTGTCCTACCGGATTGGAGAGGACGGGTCCATATGTGTCCTCTATGAGTCCACGCCACCGCCGGACACAAATCAGAAGGACAGCTGCAAAGACGAACTGAGAATCGGACAGTCGACTCCGTCCAAATCCTTCGGGATGATGACTTGCTCCAGCTGAAGAGTGATTCTGTCTAATGAGCTGTGTGTGACCATTAAATCAGGCATTGCTCACATTTGATTTCTTTTTAAATCTTTTTTTTTAAATCAATGGTGAAATCTCCATCCTATTGACCTCACGGTGAAAACAAATGTATTTTGATTAAATGTATGTTTTAAGCTCCCTGTACAGTCATGTTGAATATGTTTTTTTAAATTTCTATTAAAAAGGTTTTCTATGAATTTCTAAAAAAAAAAAAAAAGTATTTTGTGGTTATTCTATGTAACTACATAAACGAGTCCTTTCTTCTTATCATATTGATGTAATGATTTACTCGTCCTAAGCTTATATTTGTCTATTTGGAATTTGCCTGTAGGAAATGGCTAATTAAACAACTGTCATTCAATACATTTAAATATAGTAGAAGCCATTGCATTACATCTCAAAAGCAAAGTTGAAAAAAATATGTTCTTCAGTTAATGAAAAGAATTCTGAACAAAATTACTCTATAAATACATTTCGAGAATAATCTCGATGTAAGTCAAAAAATAAAAAAATGCCATCAATAATACTGATAATTTTTTCTGAGGTAAAACCTTATTTGGGTGATCTTAAAGGACATTTCTTTCATGTTGTGTGTATTTTAAATATTTACAAGATACATTCCAAAATTTCATTCATTAGACCATAAAGTATTTTCATAGTTGGCTTAAATTTAAAAGATTGTGTAAATAAATTAGTAACAGTTAGTGACTGCTTAATTATTTAAAAATGTTTTAATGGTGTGACTAGACAAACCTCAACCTTCAAAAGTCCCCCACATATCATTATTTTAGTGTTGTTGTTTTTTAATCAATAAGATATTTTCTAATTCTATACAAAACAGAACCCCCCTTATTGTCCAACTGCTTAAAACATATGCAAATTCTGGAATTCAAATTATATTTATACAATATATGCACACACACTGTATATATATATATATATATATATATATATATATATATATATATATATATATATATATATATAGTACATACTTGCATTATTTATAAACTTCATTGAGCCAGTGATTTTTCACTAGTTTTTCTGTTTCAAACAGAAAAGGGAAAGAAAAAAGTCATGCGTTCATGACATCATTTTATAGACAGTCCATAAATTGCATTCAGAAGCGGGCGAACATTTGATTGTCATTTTTAGCATGCAATCAGCGCGTGCATTTAACAATGTCAAACACTTTTGGCCAATGAAAAACCCTCAACCTCTGCGTCTGACCAATGAGAGCGCAGAGGAGGCGTGTCCTCGCGAAAGCGGTAGTAGCGCTACACCCGTCGGTGTGTCAGACGCGGATCCACCAGAAGTTTTGCGCCTGACCCTCATCATCTCGCCCGGAGTATCAAATCTGCGCCAAAACTCCATCAGTTTACGGTTCTTCTGGGTAATGGAACTGGATAAAATGGACGAAAACGACTGGAAATATCACGGGGAGGGGAACAAAAGCCTGGTCGTGTCTCACTTGCAGGTTGGTGTTCAATAGTTACTAGCTTTTAGCTTAGCCAAGATTCATATAAACTCGATCAAATCTGATTCAGTCAATGGAAAATCAATTCAAACTATTTGGAAAGGGCATAGACTTTAAGTTTGGCACTTTTACACCACCATTAGACGGAAACGAACTCTTTCTTTATCTTAAAGGGGTCTTGAGGGGGTTTAAAGCTAAAGCCACCTAACGTTAGCAGGCTAAATCAGGATTCATTGATAAAGTGAATGTACAACATGTGACACGTGTGTTATCCATGCCACACCCACATTATGGGATATAAAGTTTATTAAACCCATTTCAGTGGCACATTTAATGTAGGACGCATAATGCTGTGGCCGGTTGAAGGAATGGTCAGTGGTGATCTTATAGTGTGAGGGTGCTTTTGTGCATCTGGCATGGCTCTTAAATGGGAAGTATTAGAGATAATATAATGTACAATTAATATTTTCCCCATCCAGGATTCAAAGTTCAGATAGGAAACCTTTAACAGTTTAAAGTGAAAGATGATGAGGGTCTAGACCGATTTTAAACCAGGATGATGGGTATGAATATTGATTAGGATGGGTGGGAATGTTGATGTTGATCGTTTTTATGTATTTAGCCATTGGCCAAAAAGTACATTTAAAGATTAAAAAGATCTCTATAACAATTTTCAGCAATGTTATATATTGTTTTAAGCAAGATATTACTTGGGTTTTTGCATGCAACAACCAGAACCCTCTTTATGTGGACAACGGATTGAAATGAATAAAATCAGCTGCATTTCAGATTTGTCTTAATATGACTAATGAAAAAGTTATGGAAACTTTAAGTAAATGATTCATTTTATCAGTTCCCTTTACCATGTAGTTGACTCCTTTTTTCACTAGGATTGCAATATCAAGGCCCTGTTTTGTTAAGATCAAGGATATGTTCCTGTAAAACAGGAAGAGCTTAACCTTTGCCTGATTTTACAGCTCATTAGTGCGTCTGTACCCTCATACGACAAATAAACTGAAAAAAACAACAACACTGGATCAAACGTTTGGGAGTCAACTGGTTGGATTTGCAGTAAACTGGTTGGATTTGTGTTACAGATTACAACACAAGAGTGTGTATCCAATCACAGGCAGCAGTCCGAGACAACATTGGCCAATATGTTATTGCAATCATGTGAAACTGGGTGTGGAGAAAACGGGTGACGCTTTGATGCAGATTTCCAAGCGCTCCTGTAGTCCTGCAAGGGCTTGTCCATTTCTATTTGCTGTTTACAGACATTCTTTCATGCTCCCACACTCTTGTGTGGTTTTTTTTTTGTCACGTTGGCTGGCCTGTTTTAAATTCTTGGAATCGGAGCTGAACCGCATCATCTTGTCTGAAAGGCTTCGTGAGATTATTAAGATTTTTAAAGGCATCTCAGTTTCACATTGAAATAAGATGTGTGGTTTAAACAACATTTTGGGGTAAATTTCAGAAGAAAAAAACAATGGCTTGGTTCGTGAATACGTTTTTTACTATATGACATTCATTTCATGACAATTAAATACCTTTCCCCTCAAAAATTCTCATTAGAATAGAAGAAACTCATGAATTGTGTCTGGATAGGATTATTTTCATTGTATTACAGTAATGAGAATTAAGTTTTTTTTATTATGTTGATGACAATGTAAGAAATTGTACTCTACTGTTATGAAAATTTGACTATCATTTATTTTTCTTTTAATTTTGAAGTGAATTATACATCATTTCTTCATGAACATTTATCTTTTTAAGTGTGACATTTTGTGAGGCAGAAGTCGGTTTTGTAACGTCGTTGAGCAAGTGTGTTTAGAAACTGCATTTGCGTTTAAGTGCCCGTCGGTTACATCAGTCCATAAAACAAACCGCCAGGCAGTGAGTTTATCGGCAATGCGATGATGTCACCTTTACCTTTGTGGACCTTTTTTATGTATAAGTGCATTCTGGGAAAAACGTAATGAGTGGATGGAGTATTTGTTGTTTACACATGTACAGTCACAGGCAAGCCTTTTTCATAGGATTCCCTTCTTTTTTTCCAACCTAAAACAAGACAGTTTGTTCACTAGGATACTTACAGTGGTCAAAGTCTGTGTGAAATGAGTTGAATGCAAAATTTGTTTTCAAACACGTCACTTCTCCTTACAGCACTGTCGAGTTCTCCGTCTGTTAAAGTTTCCCTCTGAAGACTCCGCACATACACGACAGGTAAAACTTCCCCAAATTGATATTACTAAACAGTTGTACTTCCCAAACGTCTCAAATATGCACCATAAAGAATTGTATGGTGGCCGAGAGAGCTCAATGCACTGAAACTGAAGAAAACGCATGCAAATAGAAAAAAACACCAGCAAATGAAAAAAACATTGTCATCAGTTTGACAACACATGTGCTGCAAATGCCACAAAGTAACCAAATACAGAAACGCCAACTTAACCAAATACAGAAACACACTGCGAATACTCATTCAGTTGCAGTACTTGAGCTCTCTCAGCCACCGTAGAATATAATGTGATGGTAAAATATTCATAAACCTTGTAAATAGTCACATTTGAGTTTACAATAGTTGTGTGTTGAAAAAAAAGTTGCACTGTATTGTTAGTAAAGTGTCTCTTTTGGTACAAAGGGCATCTGCAGCAATGTAAATATTCAATAAGTGTTTGGTCTTGTCTGTTTGCGTTGTCATACAGTGTAGTATCAGCTCATTTGTCCTACTTCTTTCCTGACAGACCGCAGAACAAGCTTTTCGACACATCCTCAACATTGTGGATTATAGTAAATATGTCATGAAGCCTTTGTTGGGGGAGAAATACGTTCACAGCGGAGTAAGTTACAGTTCAAGAAGTTTGTGTACATTAATACACCATGTTGCTTTGTAACACAAGCCGTGACCTAGCGAATGAGATGAAAATAATGGTTTGATTGTTTACAGGAGGTTGTCAAACTACCGCTGGACTTTGTGAGACAGCTGTCGCTGAAGGTCCAACAAGAACGACCTGGTACGGATGAATCATTTTTTTCCTTTTAAACATTTGGTGAATATTATAAAATCGATTCAGAACACATTCTTATCACATTTCCACAAAAAAAAATACATATAAATAAATGAAAAAAATGTTTTGCTAAAAAATGGGACAATTTTTTTGCATTCTTATAACAGTTACACACATTTCCTCCATTTCTCATTACCAACAGCCCCCCCTAAAACAAACAGTGTAGTATTTATACTTTATGTTAGTATTTCAAAATCCTTGAGGTTAATGGGCATTACTGTATACTTCAAAGTAAAACATTTTGGTCCGTTACGGTAATGGCAATTTAGAGGAAAATATGCTTGATTGCAATGCAGATAATGTCCCAAAACAAGCATAATTTTCAAACTTTTGGTGTAAAATCCGGCTTGAATGTTTTCCGGAGTTTCACCCACTAAAAAAATTGAGTTTGTTCTTCATCGCAAACATATGCATGTGACATGCAGTCACTTTTGTAGACTGGATTTGATGTTGCGTAACGGTGTTGTGATTTTCCTTCATGCAGAACTGCGCTGTGACAAGGTCATGGACACATTCAGCGGGTGTGGTTTATGCCTCCCTAACCTGACCCAACTCCGCCTCCACCACCTCAGAGACCACAGACCTCCAATATGCGTCGAAATCAAGGTGAACTCCACTTTCAGCTGGGCTTAGCCACAACACGTCACTACCGTTATTTTTGTGTTTACTTCAAGGGGGAATTTGCACTCAAAATGACACTGATATAACTTTTATACCCACATTTTGAAAATAATCACATTTTTTCGAGACTACGCAAAAGTGTGCCAAAAACCACGCCTTTAATGTGTTGATTTAGTGAGGCATGTCTTATCGCGTCCGGTCATTGAACTTGCTGACAGTTGTTGATGGGGTTTTCTATATCTTCATGCCATTAGGGTGGAGACACTGTTTTTAAATTAAAAGCTTTGAATCTCATATAAAACAAGAACTCGTTTTTTAGGTCAGTTTATTATAAACGTCCGTTCCTGGGGAAGTAAACCACAGTAGCCGAATGACTCATTGAATCTATTTGTGTGGAATTTAATCACATGGTCAGTCGAACAAACAGGGGAAGGTGGCGTGAATCTGATCTGAAAGGCTCGTTTGTGTGTTCATAAAAACAACAAAAGCTTCTTCGCATTAAGCTTGTTCACAAAACTACATTGTAACTCGAGATGCAGAGATAAAACTACATATATGAACTTTTTCCCCTCCAGCCAAAATGTGGATTTCTACCCTTTTCCAGACACATAACTAAGGAATGCAAACGCAAAGTTTGCAGATTCTGCATGCATCAGCATTACAAGGTAAGTACCAATTAAGAATCTTACAAAGGCCTCATAGTTACGAAAGTAACTCATGGTTCATTGAAGATGATGCCAGATTTCTAAACGTGAACTTCTGCTTTAAAAAAAAAAAAAAAGAGGATGGTTCAAGTGTAGTGTCAACATCCTGCTGTCTGTTTGTACTGTGCACTATCATACAATCAGTCCTTTGGGGGTTTGGCTGCAGAAGATGCACGAAAATCAGTTTCAGTCCCAAAGTAGAGGTGAAGCGGAAACTGGAGAGTGCATCAAGCGACTGTCACTGAAGTTGGTGTACTTGACCGAAACGCTATTAGCAAAGTTTACAGTAAAATTCCTAACATTATTCTCTTGCAGTTAGCCAATGGGAAGTGGAAGCGATTGAGCAGATATTGCCCCCTGGATCTCTTTTCAGGGTGAGTCACCGCTTCAGTCACTCAGTGCAGGAAATCAGAGCTGGATTTATATCTTTCGCTGATGGTACGACCTTTAGCCAGCATTGTTAACAAATCTAACTGACTGCGGCAAAGAGATTCACTAAAGCCAACTGACCTTTGTTAAAACAGAATTTTCCACTGAGAAAGACCACACTCACCTTTTTTTTTTTTTTTTGTGACTCACCTTTCCACTGTGAAACCAGCCCCATATCCTATCATGCATGAAGCTTTTAAAACGCTACTCGACACTAAAGAAAACAGAAGGTTTAGAATCAGATGTGACAATCCATATAATCCCTTAACATGTTAATTCTTGTCATGGCAAATCTTTTTTTTTTTCTCCCTAAACTTTCCTTCATTGTTTGCAAAAATGTATCTTATTTTACTAACCTGAATGTTATTGAATAACATGTATTCCAGGAGCAAACAGAGAATGTACGTTGCATTGAAGAATCTGTTAGAGGAACCACAAAACAACTTGAAAATCTTTAAGGTAAATATAAACTTCTGTAATTGATTCTCTCCCGAACCGCTTAACGTCTCCAAACAAACTGCTGTCTATAGACCTTATTCACATCAGTGCCATCTTTGATTTTTAACGGGAATCTCTTCGGTTGGTTGAACTGTTATTTAATGTGTTTTTGGATTGTTCTGCTGAAGAAATTTGAATAAGGTCTATTTTCGGATCTTTATACTTCAGAGTAAAGTTTTAAAACTTTCCTTCGACTTCCATTTATAGAATGTTCCGTATTCGAAAAGTAACAGTCAGCGATGATGTCATGCATACTGATTTGCAGTAGGTCTCAATTTATTACTGAGTAAATCTTAATTTATCCTGGCAGGGCTCCAGACTAACTTTTTTTACTAGGAGCACTGTTGCCCCTGACTAAAAATTTTAGGAGCACAAGCAGAAAATTTAAGGGGCACACCTTAAATCAGCTTGCAATGCAATTATTCAAATTTCCCCCAAAATAACTGTAATACTGACAAATTCTTTAATAATAAAGAGACTTACCGTACAGATATTACGATATGCAGTTTTATTTTAAGTTCACAGGGCTCCAGACTCAAATTTGAGGGCAGCATCACCTCAAATGAGAACTCACACTGAGTTCTACAAAAAGAAAAGAAAAAAATTCTGGTAGCACTGGGGCTGACAATAAATCACTAAGCTTAATTTAGGGTGTAGATGAAATTTTTTTTTTTTATTATTATCATTCATAATGTCTTAATATTAATTAAAAAACAAAAGGAGTGAAAATGTATATTAAGGAGTGAACATAGCCAATAATAATCCTACTGTTTACAATGGTATTTATTTTTAAATAAGTGTTTAAATAAGAGTTATCCAACATCTTAAAATTTTTAGTTTTAGGACAATCTTTGAAGGATGAACAAAAAATGTGTTGGTCATCACATAAAAAATCAATTTAAAAAAGCATTTATATATGATATTATAGTTTTGAAGTGCTAGAAAAGATGTGTAGGCTGCGTTTGACTATTTCTGTCACATTATCATATTTATGGTTAGAGTATTTTACTACATTAGCCTAAATCCATGGTGAATGTTGCTGATTTGTGGACTGAAAGCCTTCTATAAGTTTTTCTCCTGGTTTCCACGTCAGCGCTGTTTGATCTTGATCTATGGTTTATAGCAGAACTCTGCGCCGAATCGGAATGTTTTTAAATGGATTTTGTTATAGATGATGTTATTAATTCTGAGGCGAATTCAATGGATTCTCCTAGTAACAGTGCACGCGACTGGCAAGTTCGGGTCTTTATTTTACTGTCAATGGTTCGCGGCGCTGCTCCATTGATATACATAAGAAAGGCTATGCGCTGCTCTGTCTATTATTGGTCCGGAATAATTAACGGTCCGTGAAGCATAAATGAGTAGCCTAGCGTATTTTCGTTCCACTTTCATTTTGTTTGCATTCGCTGCTTGGTAACGAGTCGATAGATCGCTCTCAGACGCACATAGCAGCTTGTGATATTTGTCTCCGTTTCCTTCCTACAGACACGCGCGCTCTCTATTTTTGTCACACTCACTCATTCCAGATTCATTGACGCGCCCCTTCCACGCTTAACCATGCGTTTAACGTGAGGCAAATTTACTGGTCGCACATGTGCGACTGGATGTAAAATTCAGTCGCACACTCTCAAATTTTAGTCGCAAAATGCGACCATTTGGTCGCAGTCTGGAGCCCTGCCTGGAACGTGGAAGTAGTGCCACTAAAAACAACTTTTGCTGATCATCATCATATAGGTCCAGATGTGTGACTAGCTTAAACTAGCAAACCAGCTTAAACGGGGGTTTAAAAAAAGAAATGGCTACTGTTTAAATATTGGTTTGATTCATTAGAAAAGGGTTATAAAAGAAAAGTGCATTAATTTATTGTTTCTCCCATCTTTTTTTTCAGGGCGGAGAGTTGATATTTAGCTGTAAAGACGACGCCAAGCAGCAACCCGACTTGAATGATCTCATTCAGCACCTTTGGCCTTATTTCCCCCATAGTAACGGCCTCTATAACAGCCACCAGCCTGGCAAAGCCGTCCTCAACGAGTTCATTCAGGTGATCTGCTCCTCCCTGCTCAGCGGCGGGGACTCGAATCGCTCGGGGGAGCCCAGGAAGATGCACCTGTCCGAAAGCAGGCCGCACTGTGAAGCCAGTCCCTTCCCAAGAGACCTGCTCCGCAACGGTGAGGCCTTTACCAACTGCTAACTAATGAATATTTGGACGGGCCAAAATATTGTTAAACTCTCATATTAGTTCCAATAGAAATCACTTTACTGTTGAGTCACAATATAACTGGAACGAAACGTGTTGTGCGTTTTAAAAGGCACATTAAGGGGCGTGTAAAAGACCGGATTATTGCTGCATTTATATGACGGTAATCGTAAATCTGTTATGCAAGTCCAGGAGTACATGTTGAGCTCATTTTCATATCTACACAGGTAACCATGGCCTCCCTAAAGACAGCGTCCTTTCAAAAATCCTCCAAGTACAGATGCTGGATAACCTGGATATTGAAGGAATCTACCCTCTGTACAAACGTGTAGAGCAGTATCTAGAGGAGTTCCCGAAAGAACGGTGAATGTTTAAGCTGGGATATTGAGTGCTTCGTTACTGATCTATCAGATCAATATTCCAGTGCAAGAACCGTTTGTTCTTGCTGAGCAAAGTTTCTATTGGGCGGATATTTCTGTGCAGTGTTCACCTGTACTGGCATCATTTTATGTAAAAATGCAGTACAGTTGCTGAATCGCTGAATTATTATATAGGTTTTACTATTATAAGTATTAATATACTTTTAATTTCAAACAATTTTAAGTCTTATTGCGGCCTCATGGAAGACATTACGATGAAAACACTAGGTGGTGCAAAAGACTGTGTGGATGTGGTACTTTATCTAGTAATGAGGCACTGTGGCCACATGGTGGTGTGCAGTGTGGTCATTGGTGATTTCCATGCAAAGCCACATCGTCTTTATGAATAAACATGCTTAAAAGCACATCTAATCGACACTTGTTTGAATCCCCAGAAACCGACTGCAGATAGATGGGCCTTATAATGAGAGTTTCATGGACACAGTTAAAAACTGTCCCACTGAGGATGACGGGTCTGTAGAATATGCTGTTGGGAAGGTAAGACTGTGAGCATGTGATGCTTTCAAGTTTAGGTGTGAATCTCATAAGAAGAAATTCACAGGTTGCATTTCACCCCAAAATTGGGCATTTAAAAAAAAGAAAAGTTTTTGGTATTGAATTAAAATACAGGTTTATTTGTTTATAAAACTAATATTAATATTTTGGGACAAATTTCTAAGTGAGATACATTTTCAGAGATGCAATACAGATTTGAATTTCTCCTTTCCAGGTTCATCAGTATAGAGTTGCAATGACCGCCAAAGACTGCTCAATCATGATCACGTTTGCACCTTGCGAAGACGACGAGGAGTACGTTTGTTTTCACTTTTTTCAATTAAAGATTCCCCTTTGACGTTTGCGGTAGTTTTACCTTCCGCTTGCTTTGCGTTTACAGGCACCAGTTGAATTTGGAGAAGCCGCGTTTTACGTATTCCGTTTCCATCCTGGATCTGGACCCCAAACCGTACGAAGGCATCCCTCACCAGTACAAGCTAGACACCAAAATCGTCAACTACTACCTGCGGAGCACGCAAGCTCCGCCCCCCTCCAGCCTATATAAGGAAAGGCAGGAGTGCACGCTGCTCTTCCATGCTGTATGAGACGCCTCCACAAGTGCTGCTTGGGAAATGCGTAGAAGTGAAATTGAAATAGTGATATAGTTTTGTTATTTTTGTTTGCTAGTCTGTCTAGCTGTTTGCCCTCCCAGCATGTTCTGCGACGTGAAGTTGGCAGCGACGGTGGCATTTCTGGGCTGTTGCTGGGACGACCTTTTGTTTTTCTTTTTAGAGGGTGATGTTCTCACTGGGGCTGGTCTCCTAAAGCACAGAATACCTGAACGAGTCAGTCATTGGCTATAAAAAGGGAGGACAAGGAGGTTGTGTGTGTTTTTGTGCAGTGCTGTTGGGTGTTTCTCTTACGCAGCAGCGCTACTGTGGTTTCCAAGTGCCAAAAAGTGGCTTACAGCGATTTTCCCTAATGAACGTTTTACCATGCATCAACTTGGCTGTGTCAGCAGTCGCTGTACAGGCAGTTTGAAGTTCAAAGGCAGACAAGTACTTGAGTTTTTAGTAAGACTACATCCCTAGAGCTCCTCAAACCACTGACCCACGGCGAGCTACAGTAGCAGAAGTTATACTGACAAGCACAGACCTGTTGCATGCTAGCGAATGAGGTTGCGCTAACACTGTCACTATCCATAATTAGATTTTATGAATTTGAAGATGAGTCTAATGATATTACTCTCTATTGAAAGTGTATTTTTATAACGCACGCTTGCCTGGCGTAACCGTCTACCGCCGCCATATACAAATCGAAGTGTCTTATTAAAGAATAGTTTGCACTACATAAACATTTAGCCATCGTTTACTCACCCTCATGTAATTGCAAATCTAATCAAAATGGCTGAATCATTTTTCTGTAGCTCGGCAGTTCATTCTAACCAGGCGTTTTGTCCGTATTGGACAAAACGCTGCTGGGTGTTGAGCATGTAGTAAGTGAATGAATGAACAACATTTTTGAACGCAAGATCATCAGTGAATAACTACTTCAGTTTTGAGTGAAGAACACGCTTTTAAGTTGTATGGACTACATTTATGGTGCTTTTTATTGGACCTTCAAATATGTGGAAAAACCTGAATATACCGACATGAAGGTGTGTAAATAATGATTGAATTTCCATTTTTGGATGAACTACTTCTTTAAAGCTAGTCTAGTATCATCTCAAACTCCACTTCCCCCGGGAAAAACTGCTGTAAAATGCAAAATCGACTGTGCCTGTCCATCTACAACTGCTCTGTCTTTGAGTTCGACATCAATACACTTAGTCATCTGTTTTGAAATTGCAGACTAGAAAACAACTTGAGGAATTCATTCCCAGCAGTTTTATTGGCTGTAATTGTTTGCAGAGCAAGACAAATTTCATAAGTCGGCCAAATATGGACAGCATGGCAGTTATTGTTAGCACAATACAGAAGTAAGTTGATCCAGCAGTTTTTCAGAATAGCAGTATATTGTGCCACAGAAATGGCAGTGTTGATTTAACATTGTGTGCAAGTTTAGCGCCTTTTACCGAAAAACCAATGACGGTTATGCAAATTTTACTGTGCGACTTCAACACTAAAGATGGCACCTCAAGGTTGCCATTTTCTTGTCATGGGAAATATTACTGTTACAAAATACTGTGGTGTGAGTGATACTCATTCATGCTTCTGTTTACCTCTTTTACTGTGATGTTGACTGCGTCGGCTTGCTCAACTCAAAGCCATCAATGCAGTTCTCATCAGGTGAATAGTGTTTGAGTTTTACATGGATGAACATTCAACATTGCCAAACTGTGTTGACACTCCCTTTTGTCTTAATGTGAACTGGTGTCAAGAGAAGTATTATACGCCTTACCTGTGAGCGAACACGCTTTCGTTGTCCAACTAATGGCGTTTGTTTGACTGTCATGTTGCTCAGTTTTAATGTGTTATATTGTATCTGATTAAGTGCAGTTTCTCCACACCAGACATTGCTGTTTTTGCCTTCGTTTTAACACCATCTTTCCCCTTACGAACCAATGAACCAGAGATATTATGAGTCTGAGGTGGTGACATTGTGTTATTCAAATGAAATAAAGATCTATAATCACTATGTAGGTAGGAATGGACATTAATTCTGTTAAGCAAGAAGATAAAGGAATATCACAGTTTCTGTGATGGAATCTAATGTTAAAATTTAACTGTTTGAAAATACAAAGTGGATTTTGCTGTCAGACATTTTGTATTTAAAATTATTTATTTTTCTAGCTCTTGTCTAATGATGTATATTTACATACAGTGTGGGCATATCATGTGTAAAAATGATTGACACTTACAGATGGCATCAATATGTAGTTCCTAACGGGTGATTGTACAGGTGTTTATATCAAATAAAATGATTAGATATGAAGTTCTGATGACATGAATGTTGGCTTGTTTTATGACTTCTCACAAACACACGGTTCTTATCAAGGCCTCAATTGACGCTTCCACCCCGAGAATCCGCAGCAGGCTCTGAAAGTAATCCGAGCCGTTTTCCATCACTTTTTTGGTGTCCAGCTCTCGAGCTGTTCAGATGAAAACAAAATAATACATTTTAGTAGGAATTATGAATTGTACAAGTATAAAATAAGAAAATAGTTGATTCTGATTCACTGCACCATGTAGCAGTCAAATATCTTTGTATAACAACCGCAGAAATGTTTATTTGATCATTGTCCATGAGTATTTCCAAGTTTCTTTTTTATTCCAAAAATGAAAGTTAGAATAGCTTAATGGAGACATCTTGATAATCCAAATGGCTAGTTTTAGACTAGTAAAAATGGTCTTCTGTTTAATAAGCAGAATAATATAAATTCAGATAGTCAACCCTGACAAAACATTATCCCTTTAATCTATATTTCACTCGTCTTACCCTGATCTGGCATTTTCAGCAAGAGCTCAAGCGTTGGTTTTACCACTCCTTCCTTAGACACATCAATCTTCCAGAATATGGTCACAGAGATCCTGAAAAACATAAAGCCATTGATTTACCATATTTCAAGGATGTAATCTGGAGATATCAGTCATGGTAACCATATAAATGTACATGAACCTTGTAGTCGCTTGATGACACATGTGCCGCTAACGGAAGGCAAACAGCTAAAGTTACGGACTGCAGTTTCCATTTAATTTTCTCAGCTGATGCAACCTACCCGGGAAGTTGAGGACTTCGTATAATCATGAGCTCCGATCTGCATCCCTCTGGAAGGCTGACCACGTCTGGGTACTTGTCCTGCCAAAGAAACCGCTCATGTGTTAAAGGAATTAAAAGTCCTGACAGATTTCATCTGACCCACAGCAACCTGGTTCCAAAACACTGGCCGATAACAAAACGGATACAAACAAAATACAAAGACATTTACATATTAAAGGATTATGTAATTGTAAGTTGAATTACGGCATTTGCTCCATAACAAGGCAAGATTACATCATGTCACAGTCTGAGACTTTCTGCATTGAGGACAAAATGTTGATTTTTTTAAAGAATTAGATCGACCAAAACTGTCATTATTTACTCCCCAAACCAGTTTGGCCTTTTTTCTTGCTTGTTTGCAACACAAAATGTAAATTTTCAAGAATGTCCACTCCTGACTACTGTTTAATTAAATATTTAAATATAGGACTTTCAGGCTCTAAAATGACCAAAAAGCACCACAAAATTGGTCCCTACGATTTGAGTGCTATATTCTGAAGTCATACGATTAGGGCTTGACAATAACACCCGCCAACTTGCCAAATGCGGCTGGAATATTATATAATATATACATTTTTTCAATTGTAGTCTTTTAAAAAGGCATCTGAAATAATAAATTAAGTGCAATGTAGTGCTGTCAAAAATATAATTTTTTCAATACATATCGATCCTGAAATATCTTAAACGCTTCCAATACTAATTTTCCTCAGATACACAATAAGCAGCTCTGCTTTCTCGCTCTCTATCCGACAGCTGGTGACACACAAACCCGCCTCAAAATTGAGTTCTTTTACGCTGCTTATTGCGCTTAAACAGTCAAATACACAAAAAATAATGTCAAAATGCCAGACTTGGCAAGTATTCACGTAAACACAATCAGTTATGTATAACAGTGTAATGTATCTGTGCGTCAGGTCTTAAAGTGGCAGCAGCCTAATATACCTGCTGCCAAAATATGAGATAATATATATATATATATATATATATATATATATAGCAGTTTTTCCCCATGGTTGTGGCCAGTGAAAATGCTGGGTGGCTAGTAACTTTGGAAAACCACTAGCCACAGTGGATGGTGAGCAAAAAAGTTAAGGTCAAGCCCTGCATATGATCCTTTTGTTAGAAAAAGACAGCGAAAAACATTATTCATTGATAATTTTTCACTGCAGGGAGCTGTTAACTGTTGTGACTGGATCATTGAGACAGTGACTTGAGAACCGGATCAGCCTAATTCACTAACGTATCATTCAGACCAGTCTTGTAAACTGCATTCACTGGTGCATTGCAAAGATCGTACCTCAATAAAAAAAAAAAGTCTAGAATATATGACAGAATAAAGTTCTCTTTCATAGGTTCACTCAACGCTGCGGAAAGCGCAGTGGGATATCCTCTGGATGTGCCGATTGCCTGAAGCCCTATAGAATCACGCCAATTCATTGGCTGATGGCGCTCGCGCAAAGCTGGCTCCGCCCCGACGCTCTTACGTCGTAGCATGATGAACGCGCGCGCGCCATCTTCTCCTCAGATTTCTCTGCCTTCACGAAGCGGTCACATCTCGCCCTTCGTTCGGTTTTTCTGAGCCCGAATTCTTCAAATTCAACTTCAGCTTTCGTCTCGACACTTCAGCGACTGGTATAAGTGGAACTCTGTTCTCCTTACAGTGAAGTGTCATGGATTATCGACGCTGCTCTCCGCCATGTGTTCGTTTTATCTCGAACGACGACCCTCACAGTAAGTGTGTTAAATGTATGGGTTTTTCGCATGCGCGTGAGGCTGTATTAGGATTGTCGAAATGTAAATTTTGTGACAATCTCCTTCTCAAAACCCTCCGCTCTAGACTCGCGGTTTTTGAGAAGGAGTCATTCGTTCCCCCCCGTCGCGCTCCCGAGACTGCTGAGGCCTCTCGTGGATCCGCGGCCTGGGGCTCGGATGTTGAGCTCGAGGATATTGAGTATGAGCAGACGGGCCTCGCCCTTTCTCTCCCTCCCTCTCCCGAGCACGCACGCGGCGCGGTTGAATTCGCGCATGATTATTTATGCCCCAGCCCGGGAGCCCGCGAATCGGTTTCTTTCGGTCTGGATGACGTGATTTACACTGCAGCCTCCGACTCCGAGGATTTCGGGCCTGCTTTGGCTGATGACGTTATCCCGCCTAGCGGCCAGGACGCGCGGCCTACTCCGGCCTACACTGAGCTTATTGACGTGCTGTCGCGCGCTACAGAGAAGCTCTCTATTGACTGGCCTGATGAGCCCCGCGAGTCTCAATCGTCCAAACTCGACGAGAGGTTCCTACGTGGCCCTAATTCTAGGCCAGAGCGAAGAAAGCTGCCCTTTTTCAGCGATCTGCATCACGAGATCTCCAGATCCTGGAAGCAGCCTTTCTCCGCACGCCTAACTAATGCGGCAGCCGCTGACTTCACCAACCTTGTGGGTTTTGTGGAGCAGGGTTATTCCGCTATTCCAGCGGTCGAGGACACGCTGGCTAACCACCTCGCCCCGTCGTCTGCACCGTCCTGGAAGGCGCGTCCCCTTCTTCCTTCCAAGGCTTGTAGGACTACTTCCTCCCTTATTGGGAAGTCTTACATGGCGGCTGGTCAAGCAGGCATGGCCCTGCATACCATGGCCATCCTTCAAGCCTACCAAGCGGACGTCTTGAAGGACATGGATAAAGGAGAGGGACTGACGCCCGAAGCTGTCAAAGAGCTTCGCAAAGCCACAGATCTGGCCCTAAGAGCCACCAAACACACTGCTCGGGCTGTTGGTCGCTCTATGGCAGGCTCGGTTGCTGCAGAGCGCCACCTCTGGTTGAATCTCACGGAGATCCGAGACAAGGATAAGAGTTTCCTCCTGGATGCCCCTATCTCCCTCTCAGGTCTTTTCGGGGAGGCGGTCAACACGGTGGTTGAGAAGTTCCGCGCCGCTAAGTCTCAGTCGGCCGCGTTCAGGCAGTTTATGCCCAGGAGGGTCAGAGGGCCAAGAGACTCCAACCCTTCCCCTTCTCAAACCCGAGAACGCTCTGCTCATAGGGCTGAATTCCCTACTAGCAGGAGTGACCCGGCTCACCACCCTCCAACTACGGTCTGGGGAGCCCGAGGTCGTCCATTTCCCCGCCAGCGCCCTCACAAGCGCCTTCAGCTGAAGCGGTCCAACAAATCGGCCGCTCCAGCCTCCTCGAGCCGTTCCTGACCCGCAGGTCAGAAGGAGGAGAGCCTCACCAGATCTACGAGGTTGGGACAGACCGCGCAAGCGTTTCTGCCCTCCTCCACCCGGCTCTCCTCATCCAACCTTGTCACCTTCGCCACCCAGCGTGTTTCGAAGTGCAGGTCCTGTTTCACTCTCTTCACCCAGTCCGGCGCAGGAGGAAGGAGACGCGTCTTGCTTTCTCCCCTCGCTCCCGGTGCACGTTACACCCGCCAATCGCTTCCTCGGAGGCACAGTTCGTTTTCCTCTGGAGCAGGCGGACCCAGTTACTTCTATCCAGGTGGTGGTACCCCCCAGTACGTGTCAGGACGCCAAGCGCTCTCCTCCACGGTCATCCGCGCCTCCCCATGGGAACCAGCGCGACACCCTACCTCAGGTATGTCCCTTGCACTGCAACACTCCTCTCCCTCTATCACATTTCGTTCAAGAATGGGAGCGTTTACCAGGGGTATCGCCTTGGATCCTTGGTTTCCGTGAGCACCTGCCGCAGACTTCTGGGCCTTATGGCCGCGGCCTCCCCTGTGCTACCTCTGGGGCTACTCCACATGAGACCTTTTCTGTGGTGGATGAAGCTCTCAGGGGCTCGGCCCACGGGGCCAGCCCTTCGCCTATTGAAGGTGTCGCGCAGTTGCTTTCGCGCCCTGTCAATCTGGCGGGACCCCCTCTTCCTTCAGAAAGGAGTTGGTATGGGTGCGGTATTCCGTCGCCAGATGGTTACGACGGATGCCTCTCTGACCGGATGGGGAGCGGTTTTCGAGGGCAGGCCAGCGTGTGGGGTTTGGACTGGCGAGACCCTCTCGTGGCACATAAACAGCTTGGAGCTGAGGGCTGTCTTCCTGGCTCTTTGCCACTTTCTCCCTTTCCTCGAAGGACACCATGTCATTGTCAGAACGGACAATATGGCAGTAGTGTCCCATGTAAACAGACAGGGGGGTTCACGATCGCGCACCCTAGAAAGGCATGCGCGTCACCTTCTACTGTGGTCCCAGGACAAGTTCCTCTCTCTGAGAGCAGTTCATGTCCCAGGGATTCTGAACCTCGCAGCAGATTTTCTGTCGAGGCTGAAGCTCAGGTCTAGGGAATGGATGTTGAACCGCCAGACGGTGGCCCTGATCTGGGAGGTGTTCGGGAAAGCGGAAGTGGACCTCTTTGCATCTCAGGAGTCGTCCCAATGCCCGCTTTGGTTCTCTCTGAGCCCTCCAGCTCCGTTGGGGATAGATGCGTTCGCCCACCCTTGGCCAATGCAGAAACTCTATGCCTTCCCGCCCATCAAGCTGATCCAGGCGGTTCTGTCCAGAGTGAGGGAGAGCGGAGTCCGCCTCCTTCTGGTAGCCCCACTCTGGCCGTCCCAGCCATGGTTTTCGGAGCTGATCCCTCTGTTGGAATCCTCCCCCTGGGAGATACCGGTCAGGGAGGACCTGCTTTCCCAGCTTCAGGGCAGGATATGGCATCCTCGCCCCGACATTTGGAAGCTGTACGTTTGGCCTATCAGAGGCCGTTACCTTTAAGCTTTGATCTCCCAACCGACGTTCAGGAGACCATTGCGAATGCTAGAGCCCCTTCGACGAGGAGGCTATATTCCTCCAAGTGGAGGGTGTTCGAGGCATGGTGCTTAGCACATGATAGGAACCCAGTTAGCTGCCCAGTAGGCACAGTGCTGGAATTCCTGCAGGAAAAGTTTGCTTCCGGAGCGGCCGCTACCACTCTCAGAGTATATGTCGCAGCTATTGCCGCTCATAGAGAATCAGATGAGATTCCCTTGGGGAAACTGAGGTTAGTTTCGGCCTTCATGCGTGGGTTTAGGCGCCTAAAACCGGCTCGCCCCCCTAGTGTTCCCTC